GTCTTCAGTGCTCCTCCGCACAGCCCACACCTCTGCCGGTAGACCACAGGCTCTCAGCTCCAGTTCTCGAGGAGTCAGCTGAGCCCAGTGGTCCTTACGCAGAGCTGGTGGGTTGCCTCATGTACCTGATGACTTGCACTCGTCCAGATCTCGCATACCCTCTCAGCATCCTGGCTCGCTTTGTGGCCACAGGCAGACACCGACCACAGCACTAGTCGGCCGCTAAGAGGGTTTTGCGTTATCTAGCAAGTACATCGGGCATGGGGCTTGTGCTGGGAGGACGCAGGCCAGTGGTCCTTACTGGGCACATAGACGCTTCTTGGGCAGACGACGCTGAGACCCTTAGGTCCTCTTTGGGCTACTGCTTTAGCCTTGGTTCTGGTGGCATCTCGTGGAGGTCCACTCGCTCCTTGTCTGTTGCTCAGTCTAGCTGCGAGGCTGAGATCTACGCCGGTGCCATGGCGGCACAGGAGCTCCGCTGGGTGACCTTCTTACTTGCCGAGTTAGGTGAGCGGCCTAGCTCTGCCCCGGTTCTGTACGCTGACAACAGGGCCATGATCCTCCTGTGTCAGGAGCCTCGACTTGAGGGCAGAGCGAAGCACATCCAGCTGCGGTACTTCCTCTTGCGCGAGCTTCAGCAGCGTCGCCAGGCCCGCGTAGTACACTTGGCCTCCGGTGCCAACACAGCTGATATCGTTACTAAGGCACTTCCGCCTAGAGATCATCAGCGGCACTGCTTGCATGTAGGTCTAGTCCCTGTTGACTCTCACTTGCTAGGCCCTTGATTATGTGCTCCTTTCTATTTATGCCTTCCAGACTGGCCTTGTGGCTTTTCCTCCAGTGGTTGGACTAGTAATGCCGCCCTGGTTTGCTCTGTCTTGCTTATACTCTTGCTGACTGGTCTTCGGGCCCCTGCTTCAGAGGTTGGACTAATAGTGCCACCCTGAGCTGCGTGTTTCTTGCTCAACACTACCCCTTATCTAGCCTAGGGGGTGTGTCAACTTATACATATATTGACATGTAGAAGTTATAGGCTAGATAGGGTATGTTAGTGAGTACAACCCAAACGCTATATCTCCCCTGTTCTCCATTCTTCTAATCATTCTTTCTAGTCTTAACAGTAAGGCCCTCAGATTTTATGATTTTTTTTTTCCAGATTTTGCTGATTTTCTTGGTGTTTTTCTGTACCGACCCTGAAAAATCAGCGTTGGGATTTGAAAAAACGGGGCTAACCAGGAAAAAAGAATAGTACCAACATGAATAATTTTTTAGGAATAAAAATTTTAATAGATTGTGATTCGATTTGAAGAGGAGTTTTGCTGTAAAGGAGACAAGCTCCTTCACATTCTCGCAGGTCCGATGGACCTGCCACCTAGTTTCATTCTCATTTCTCTTCTCTGATTGCTTACTACCATCAGCACACTCTAAACCCCTCCTATGCCCAGACCTTGGCATAGGAGCACGCTCCTTGAGGACGTGATTGCTGCACGTTTTTTCTACCATGACTGGAGGAATTGTTTCTGCTGCAATTGGTCGTCCTCCTGTTTCAAGAATGAATTGAAGGAGCAATGGACGACGTGGATCCCCTGTGCGTGAGGGAAGTCAAGATTCTTCTACTCACCATAATCGTTCCCGCTCTCCACGCAACAGAAACGCATCTATTACTGCCTTGGATCTGCTGAATGGCGCTCGGCGAAACCCCGTTCAGCAATCCGGATTGGCTCCCGTCGGAGATTGTAATGCTTCTGACGGTCGCGATTTTCCCTCCGGGTTTCGCGGCGAGCGGCGTGAAGAACGTGAACGTGTCGACTTGAACCCGCCAGGAGAAAACGCCCCGACACCCGTGGAACAGTTGCGCGCGGCACCCCTCGGCCGCAATCATGACGGTCCTGCGCGCGAGGATCGCAATGATCATCGCGATCCTGGGCGCGCAGGTCGAAATTGTGAGAGTACGACCCCGTTACACCACTTGTTCCTTTTTCTCTTTCCTTCCTATTTTCATTCCTCCTTTTATCTCATCTCATTTGGTTTCCTACTCTCCATTTTCCATTAACCTTTGGTTTATCCTACTATTATAGTTATATCACCGACCAGGCTTGGGATGTACTGGTGCGCTATCTGGCGTAATCCTGCCGTAATCCCTTAAAGCCAATAGCCTCGCATGGCTATACGCAGGGTGTTTCTATATTCTAGAAGGGTCTATTTTTTTGGGATAAGATAAACTTGGTTACCTGATATACTCTGGAAGTATAAAAGCACCTTGTATCAATCGATAGTGCAATCTTTCCTCGAGTCATTCGATCCTATAACACTTGGTAATCAGAGCTTTTCCCACTCGACCGCGCTCAGCTAAGCAGCAGCAGCGGGGGATCCTGCCTCGAAAAACCGCCGGAGGCGACCAATTCGACGCCGATTCTGGTAAGCACCAGCTCCGCGTTTTTTCGAATTACCCCCTCCGCGCGTATTTTGAACAGGATGGCGAACGTCGACAACGCCGAAGTTACCCAGCAGCTCTTCGCGCGCATCGCAGCCCTTCAGGAGGAGATGCGAGCAGATCGCGAAGCGTGGCAAAACGAGTTCGAGCGAGTAACTTGACTCGCCGGAGTGCAACACGAAACGAGAACGGCGACGACACAGCAGTCGCAACAGTTTCTCGAGGCTCCGAAACCGCGCCCACTTGAGCCGTTCGATCCGAGCGATCGAAACTCCGACGTCCGCAGATGGATCGCCGGCATGGAGATCTACTTCACAGCCGTCGGATGGAGCTCGTTAGCCTGGGACGGTCAATGCGTACGACTCGCGGTGACACTGATGCGAGGGCCGGCACTCGAGTGGATCGGCGGTAACAGCACCTTCATCCACGGCGAAGCCACGTGGCAGCAGTTCCGCACCGACCTGCTGAAACGTTTCAAGCCGATAACTTCTGGTTTCCTTGCCTGGGTAAAAAATCATCGCCATCGACAGTTCGGGAGTGTAGCGCAGTAAACGCAGCTGATGGAGGAATTTTATAACCGAATTCCCGACCTGACCGAAGGGGAAAAAGTACAGTCGTACCTCGCCGGGCTGAAGACCGAAGTCAAACGACAAGTGGCAGCGTCAAACTACGCGAGCTACAGTGACGTTGTTTCGGCAGCGGAGCGCTTCGACATGGTCAACGCCAGGACACGACGGACGCACGTCGGCAGTACGCGACAGGGAGACCGCTCGGCTCACCCCACGTTCGCCGACCCGATGGAAGTCGACAGGTTCGAGGGGCGGCCACGTCCGAAAAACACCAACTACACGTGTGATTTTTGCGGGGTGCCAGGTCATCGAATCTTCGACTGCAACAAAATGAAAGCCACACGCGCACACTATCGGGCACGCAACAGTGGCGGAATTCCTTCGGCCAATCAGAAGACAAAAAACGGGAGTCGCCAGTGATCGCGGATCTAGCTGGCGAAAAAGAAAAGATCCGAAAACGGCCGCGGGATTCCGGAAAAATCAACTTCGACGCAGCTGATTCGACGTGAATAGGAGAAAATAATGGGGAAAATTCTCCACCCCATGACCAGTCTTTGCCAGAGGAAATCGCCGAGGAAAAATCTAACTCCGCGAGAAAGGACTCTGCCGAGACGGGGAAACTCCTTGAAGACCCAAGAAATTATAAGGATTCGTTAAAGTTATCTTATAAAGATGCTTTAATGAAGACTTGTGATTTTCGAGGAGCTAGAGCCTTGGAGAAATTTCGGGAGGGACTCCAAAAGAAGCAGACAGCTGTGGAGATTATACCAGTACCGGACAACTTGGGGAAAAAATTAAGGAGTGTGGAAAGAAGCCGACCTTTCCACAGAGTCAAAGTCCTCTCCCAACACCAGCCCACAACGAAACTCCGGGCTTCGTCAAGGAAACTCCGGGCCTTGGAGAAGAGCCGTTCTCCAAGCAGCCTCGGCCAGCTGCCAACTCAGGAGTAGATAGCAACACAAAGGTGTGTACGGAATATTAGGATGTACCCTATGACCCAATCAATGAAACTATCTTTGGGTACTCCGAGCAACGCCTGCCCCTCGTGCTCGAGGTCATCTGCAAAGGACGACGCCTCCAAGCACTCGTGGACAGCGGAGCATCGCACACCGTATGCGACAAGGCAACCATCGACCGACTTCGAGAAGAGTACAAGCCATCAGCGTTTTCTGCAACGATGGTGGACGGCAGCAAGTTACCAGTGTACGGCGAAGCAGTGCTACACCTACAAATCGGTCCACTGCACTGGAAACCTGCTCTCCCCATCACCAACATAAAAGGGCTTGACCTGATCTTCGGGCGAGACTTCCTCAAGAAATTCAACCCCGAGATCAACTGGGTAAACCGCACCGCAAGTATCTACAACAAAGGAAGGAGAGTCCAACTACCCAACTGGGATGATACAGGAGATATCCCAGTGGAGACACTCGCCAGATTCGAGAAGGACGTGAAGCGAACCGACACCGGGCTCCTGGCGATAGCAACAGAGGTGGAAAACGACAGAGAGGAAACCTCGGAACCTCCAGAAAAAATCAAGGACTTACTGAGGGAGTTCCAAGACATTCTTCCTGACGATCTTCCGAACGAGCTACCGCCATACCGAACGCATCAACACGAGATCGTGGAGGAACCGGGTTCGAAGCCGACCTTCCGAGCACCATATCGGCTCAGCCCTACGGAGCTGACCGACATGAAAAAATAGATCGAGTATCTCCTAGCCAAAGGACTCATCCGACCATCCACTTCGCCATACGGTGCCCCAGTACTCTTCACACCGAAACCGGACGGAAGCCTGCGCATGTGCATCGACTACCGAGCTCTTAACAAGCAGACCATCAAAAATAAATATCCGATACCACGAATCGATGACCCGCTTGACCAGCTTCGGGGAGCTACGGTATTTTCCAAACTGGATCTGCGGTCCGGATACTGGCAGATACGGATGGCGGACAACTCTATCCACAAAACTGCTTTCCGAACTCGGTATGGATCGTACGAGTATTTGGTAATGCCGTTCGGACTCACCAACGCACCGGCAACGTTCCAAGCCGACTTCATCAACGGGTTACCACCTACCATCAGCGGTCATGATGCAATCCTTGTCGTCATTGACAAGTTCTCCAAAACGGGACACTTCATCCCGACACACACGACGACACGCACCGAGGAGACATCACAACTCTTCGTTCGTTACATCATCTCACAGCATGGCATTCCAACCACACTCATCTCCGACCGAGACCCCAAGTTTACCAGCAAGTTTTGGAAGGAACTTATGTCTCTTCTCGGGGCCAAACTCGCCATGTCATCCTCCTACCATCCACAGACAGATGGACAGACCGAGCGCCTCAACCAAATTGTGGAGCAACTCCTGCGAGCAGCCTGCAAAGACGACATCTCCAAATGGGACTTGCATCTGCCCGTCCTAGAGTTTGCCTACAACAATGCCACTCACGCTGCTACTGGACAGATGCCGCTCTTCCTCTGTTACGGACACCACCCACTCATACCACAAAAACCGACCACATCCGCGACAGTCCAACCTGCACATGATTTCATCACAACCATGCATCAGCTTTGGGATCGGACCCACAAGCGCCTCCTCGACATGCAGCAGCAACAAAAGCACCAGGCCGATCGCCATCGCAACGACCACACTATTACCGTGGGAGACCAGGTGCTCCTTGACACCCGCAACCTTGACATTAGCCATCTCCCATCTAAACTACGACCTCGCTTCTGCGGGCCTTTTCTCGTTGAAGCACAGGTCACTCCTGTTACCTTCCGCTTGCGCCTGCTAGCTACCTGGAAGATTCACAACGCCTTCCATGTCCAACTTCTGAAGCCCTATTGGGATCCGAACACGATCTTCGTCGGATGCCAACCACCGCCGCCGCCACCCGTTCTCGTCCAGAATGAACCCGAGTACGAGGTCGAATCGGTGCTTGCACACCGCCGTCGTCGGAATGGCACCGTGGAGCTTCTCATCCATTGGAAGGGTTATGATCCTTCTGCGGACAGCTGGGTTCCTGAGACCGACATGGGTAACGCCCGTCGTCCTCTGCATGACTACCTTGTCAAGCAGGGTGTTACTTCTACCACCCAGCTTTGAGGGGGGGAAGTGTGAGAGTACGACCCCGTTACACCACTTGTTCCTTTTTCTCTTTCCTTCTTATTTTCATTCCTCCTTTTATCTCATCTCATTTGGTTTCCTATTCTCCATTTTCCATTAACCTTTGGTTTATCCTACTATTATAATTATATCACCGACCAGGCTTGGGATGTACTGGTGCGCTATCTGGCGTAATCCTGTCGTAATCCCTTAAAGCCAATAGCCTCGCATGGCTATACGCAGGGTGATTCTATATTCTAGAAGGGTCTATTTCCTTGGGATAAGATAAACCTGGTTACCTGATGTACTCTGGAAGTATAAAAGCACCTTGTATCAATCGATAGTGCAATCTTTCCTCTAGTCATTCGATCCTGTGATAGAAATGATGAGCAGAATCCTGAGCGTGACCAGACGCGTCAGGACCTGGGTCGTCAGAATCTTGACCAGCGCGCAAATCGCCAGGAGTGCCAGGATCGTGGCGATCGCCAGAATTTGGACGTCCACGCCGATTTGGAATCTCGCCCGACGAATCAGCGCGCACAGCAGGATCCTGTCATCATCGCCAATGGATCTGCAAATTTCGCCGAAATGATGGCGCGTCTGGACCCCGCCACCCAGCGAAATTTCCAGCGAATCTTCACGAGTGCTTCAATTGGTGAACGCGTTACAGCACGCTCCTCTGCTTCTACAGCGCCCCGATCTGCAGAACACATTTATGCTCGTTACAACAACAACGACAACGCTAATAATGACGCAATTCATCACGTCATCGGTCTTCTCGCGGCCCTTCAGCGCGGACAATCCGGTGATCCAGCACCACCCCCTGCACCTGCTCGACCTGCGGCAGCAGCAGTGCCACGCTCCCGCCCTCCTCCCGTCGCGGCCGAACCCGAGGGCGATGGCGCGGATGACGACGCGCCCATGGAAACCCTTGACGAAGGTAACGCCGCTCGTCTCAAGTCTGGTTCTACCACCCCGAATCTTGCTCCTATCCCTCCTGCACGTCCTCAGTTGCGTTCTTCTTTGGTAAAAAGTGACAGCTTTCGAACCCAACTTTTTAGTTTTGAGCGTATCCAGGCTATTGCTCGGCACGCGCTCTCCGCTTTGCCCCCTAGTGGTGGCGAGTTAGCCGCCGACTATCTCCAGCAGATAGTCGAGGAGGCGGAGGAAAAGATTCATTTCATATTCACCGCAGATCAATGCGGTTTTGAAGTGGCCAATATGGCCCTAAAGATTAAATATGGGGAGGTGGTGGAAGATAAAAACGTTAAGGCCGCCATACAAATTGTGGCGGCCAGCAAAAAGAGACCTACTAGACCCACCACCTCAACATCCCGCACCGATCCCCCCCCTCGTAGTAGGGGTGAAGACGCACGTACTTGGAATACGTGGCATCGGGATGGCGACGGTCGATGCTTTTATTGTCGCGAACGTGGTCATGGGTTTAAAGATTGTCCTCGCCGAGGCCAAGGGGCCAACCGGCCGGCTAAGATTGTCTAGAGGCTTTGATGGCCGATTCTTTGTAAAACCATGATGCTATAAATCTATTATTTCATATTAAAGATTGATGTTGTGCCAATTGGTGATCGAGCATGCGGCTCAAATCCGCTTCGAATATAGCACGGCAATATGCTATTCAATATTTGCATGCAAAAAAAAAAAAAAAACAACAACAACAACAACAACAACAACCCCAAAAAAGGGAGTAGGGGGAAGCACAAAAACGACAGAAGTGCCGGAAAAGAAAGGCAGTCCAAAAGGTACAAAACGCACGTGGAACATTGGAACACGCACCTCCGACCGATGAAAGCATGACAAAGATTGTAACATTGCTGGTGCGCACACTGCGAAAAGTGTTGCCTTCATTCTTGCTTTCGCCTCGACTATTTCGAGCACACTTCTCACGCTACGCATGCTTCGGCAAACGTATTTGTACGGTCAAGAACGATAACTTACATCCGGCCCTTGCGGCTTTTTATTGTACTTGTTCGTCACCGCCCCTCACCAGAGCTTGGCTCCTTCGCCGTACATGTTGCCACATCGGGTGATACAATCCGTATGCGAGGACGCCTGCGTGCCTGCTTTGCATGGTGGTCCGGTTGGTGCGATAGCCGCTTCATGCTATCGGTCCTCACGTCAGGCTACCGCCTTCCTTGGGCTTCTTCAGAGCCTATAGTGCAGCATGCCTCAAACCATGCCGGGGCACTCCAATTCCACACATTCGCTGCGGAGGCGGTGGACGAGCTCCTCGCTACGGGAGTGGCCCGGCTCGTTCCTCCATCAGAGCCACTCACATGCATCAGCCCGCTTAACATAGTCGTCCAACCTTCCAAAAAGAGGCTCATATTGGACCTGCGCCACGTGAATTCATTTCTTTCCGTCCCCCGTTTTCGCTACGAGGGCTTGAATCGGGTGCCCGGCTTGGTGCAGCAAGACGATTGGCTATTCACCATCGATCTAAAATCCGGCTACCACCATGTGAATATCCATCCCTCGTATTGGTGCTTCCTTGGTTTTACACTCCAAGGGCAGCGCTATCAGTTTCTATCATTGCCTTTTGGTCTAGCTACTGCGCCGTTCGTTTTTACTCAGCTGATCAAGCAGCTCGCAAAACGTTGGCGCGGACGCGGCATCCGACTTATCCCATACGTCGATAACATTTTGTTAATCAACGCTACTCAAGCCGAGGCCCTTTGCCACCGTGCCGTCATTTTAGCGGATCTTCAGTCAGCTGGCTTCGCTGTCAACTTCAAGAAGTCGCATCTCGAACCAACCCAGTGCCTAAAGTTTTTGGGCCTCCTGCTGGACACTCGCACCACGTCTTTCTCCGTCGATGACGGCAGACGCGAGCGACTCTTCGCCGAACTTGAGCAGACATGTGCACTTAGCGCGTAAGGGCGGCCTATCCTAGTCCGTCGGGCCGCTCGCATCACTGGCTTGCTAGCCTCCATGGCGCTCGCACTTGGCACGGTCGCGCGTGCCTTCTCCCACAATCTTCTTTCTCAGATCTCTGAGTGTCACTCTTGGGGGGCGTCAATTCTCTTGACACCCAATTCTCTCGACGAGTTGCGTTTCTGGCTCACCCAGTTCGATGTCTTCAATGGCTCGCGCTTCCACAATCCTCATCTCTACGGCGTCGTGATGTATGTGGATGCCAGTGATCGCGCATGGGGCGCGTGTCTTTCAGCGCCGGACGGCCACGCCGATTCGCATGCTTCACCACTCCCCCGGGCCCTCGTCTCTTCATCCAGCACGCTCCGCGAACTTGCTGGCATCCTTTGGGCACTGTCAACCTTTCTTGACAAGGTCCGACGCTCGCACGTCCTTCTCCGCAGTGACAGCCAAGCGGCCTATTACATTATGAAAAAAGGGGGTTCCCGCTGGCTTGAGTTGACTCTGATATGCCGAGCTATTATCCACCTTTGCGTGCGCCACCAAATTCGGCTCACAGTCCAGTGGATCCCACGCACCCTTAATACAGAAGCCGACGCGCTCTCCAAGTTGGATCTTCTCGACGATTACTCTCTCGCACGACCTTGGTTCCTTCTACTAGAGAGGCGTTGGGGTCCTCATACTATTGATTTGTTCGCTTCCCCGGCTAATGCGCAACTGGCTTGTTTTTGCTCGCTCGAGCTCTCTAATGCGGTAGTCGCGCAGGATGCGTTTTCTCTTAGCTGGTCGGGCGACAACTGCTACGCCTTTCCTCCCCCACCCCTGATCCGCGCTGTCCTCGCTCACGCCCGCCGCTCGCGCACCTCGCTCACCCTTGTAATCCCGCATTGGCCTAGCACCTTTTGGTGGCCACTATTATGCCCGGACGGCTCCTCTTGGGCCCCCGCTGTGGTCGCAACCATTCGCCTTGCTCCTGGCTCTAGTTGTTTGCGCATTGGTAGCGACCATTCTGCCTTTAGCGGTGCAGGTCTCCCGAACTCATTGATGTACGCGCTTCGCTTGCTATTCACTAATACATAGCGCTGTGCCAGTGCGCAGATTCCTACCTCTGCCGCTTACTTTTGGATCTCTTGACGCTCACAGTCGATCTTCGTGCACAGTCTACTCTTCGAACATACGAGCCCTACTGGCGACAGTATCAGGCCTTTTGTACCGCGCACTCACTTCCTTTTCTACCTGCCAACGGCCTTACGGCATCATTGTTCCTGTTGCACTCGATCCGCGGTGGCGCCACTATTTCAGCAGTGCGATCCGCATGTTCTGCCATCTCATGTGCCCATTGGCTGGTCGGCCTTCCTTCTCCTATTCGCGGCCCGTTATCTTCCCAAGTGAAGGAGTATGCGCAACGCCACTGCGGCAGGCCCCCTCGAGCTAAGGAGCCGATACCACCCGAAAAAATCTACGATATCTGCGACGTCTACTTCGCGTCGTCCGATCCTGCGACCTTCCAGAAGGGGCTGATCCCTCTCCTCATGTTTGCAGCCTTTCTGCGCTTCTCTGATCTGATATCCCTCCAGTGGCACCAGATTGAGTTTGACTGGGACTGTATGTGGTTGTTCATTCCCCGCTCCAAGACCGATCAGGCGGGTACTGGTGCATGGATTCCTGTGGCTGCCTCCTCCGCTCGCCACTGCCCCGTCTCTCGCGTCCAGCAATTCCTATTCCTCGCTGGGTACTCCGCCCAGTCTCTCGGCCCCCTCATCCGTGTGTTTCAGCCGGGCTCTCGAGCTTCCCCTTCCGATCACTCCCCTTCGTATGCCACCATTCGGAGTTGGTGCCGGGATTCCTTCTCTCGGGCCGGACTCAATCCTGATGTCCTTGGCACACACTCGTTTCGCAAGTCCGCAGCCACCACGGCCGTTGATGTTGGTGTTCCTGATCGGCTCTTTAAGGCCCTCGGCCGCTGGCGCAGCGACACGGCTAAGGAGCGTTATGTCACCCAACTCGATCGCGAGTTTATCGCTGCCTCACGGACCCTTCAGGACCCTCTCCGCTCCAGTCCAACTGCTCGATATGCAGCCATGCTTGAGCGCCACCGCCGTCAACCCCCTCCCTGATGTTTCGTTCGACCTATGACGACTGCACTGCACACTCCTCTGAAAGTCGTGTCACAATATGAATATTTTTTTAGGAATAAAAAATTAACAGATTGTGATTCAATTTGAAGAGGAGTTTTGCTGTAAAGGAGACAAGCTCCTTCACATTCTCGCAGGTCCGATGGACCTGCCACCTAGTCTCATTCTCATTCCTCTTCTCTGATTGCTCCCACCCCCCTCTCCCATTTTCCTAGTCGGCATCTGCCTGTTTAGCTTCATCCTTTAGAACATCCATGTACTTCTAACTATGAGTGTGCTGTATCATTGAGATATGAAATGCTATGACGACTGCACTGCCTATGAGGACTGCACTGCACACTCCTCTGAAAGTCGTGTCACAACCCTGATTTTCAAGGGGTTTTCAGGGTGCCTGTGTGTACCTACCCTGAAAATTCAGTGTCGCCTAAAACGAATCTGAGGGTTGGCGTTGTGTCGTGCACGATGTCCAGCATCGTAGATGGATTACAGGTGGGCTGCAGAGGCCTTATACCCATCAAGTCTGTAGGTTATATTAACATGTAATCCGTCTTGACCGTCGTGGCGTGCATGCATGTTGTCCAGCGCTGTTGTGCGGGAACCAGGGAGCATAATTCAGGTGGATGGGTTGGACGAGCATTCATTCAATACGGTATAAACTACACTACGATTGCGCTAAAGAATCCAATAAAATAAATGCAGCATATGCTATTTCATATGCTTCTTGAGTAGGCTGTACAATCCAATGAATGTTACCACATCTACACCTAGTAGCTCCTGTAGTTGCCCGTCCACTCTATATCGAGCCACCCGGCCTCCTCCCTCCACCTGGGGCGAAGGAATGCCGCAAGAGAGAATAATGCAGCATGAGAGAATAATGCAGCATGCGAGAAAAATGCAGCATGCGAGAATGACTAGTGGATGTAGAACAGGTGGGAAAAAGAACATCAAGCGATACACAGAACAGGCGAAGAAGATAACGCTCAATGGCCTCAAAAGAATGTCAAGCGATACACAGAACAGAGACGGTACTAGCATTTTGTGGGGGAAACTCAAACCACAGACCTTCGCCCCTTGTAGCTCTCCCTCCAACATCTCCCAGGCACACCACCCACTCACTCTTAACTCGCTGCGGAGGAGTCTATTTTTGAGGCGCCTCACAAAATAGACTTACACATTTCCCAGGCACACTCGCCCAGGCGCCCACTCGCTCTTTACTGAACTCGCTGCCATACTTGTGCTCTTGGATGCTATTGGTCAAGCCACCACCTGCCTCACCTTTTATCCCTAAATTCGCACACCTGCCGCCACTCACCTTCTCGCCCTGCTCCTTCACTCACTGCCATACTTGTTGACTGGCGTCTCTGAGAGGTAAGCTGTAAACCTCGCCTCCCAGACCCCCCTTGAGTGCCAGGGACATGAACTTACTGCTTTATGCACACCTACAAAAGTACTTCTTGGTCTGCTTTTGAGTCGACTCAAAGCCTACAAAAGTACTTCTTGGGGTTTTTCTTGAACTTCCGCAAGCGCGGAAGGTAGGCATATCATGATTTTCCACGCTTGCGGACTCATTAGCTTCTCTCCCTACCTTTCCACATCCCTCGCCACACACCTTCTCGCCCTGCTCCTTAACTCGCTGCCAGACTTGTTGACTGGTCTCTCTGAGAGTAAAGCCGCCAAACTCTTCTCCCAGAACCGCCTTGAGTGCCGGAGACAGTTGGCGCAGATCACGATCGTCCGCGCTCGATGCCTCACTAGCGGACGACTCCCTAGCGGACGACACCAATCCAGATTCCACTTCTCCTGACTTGGTTGCTCCGCTTGCTCCTCCACTTGCTTCTTTGGCTGCTCGTTTTGCCCCTCTTGCCCCTCTTGCCCCTCTTGGTGCCTTTGAGGCTGCTCCACCCACCCCCGCAGCTTCCTCCGCTGCATTCACTGCCTTAGCGGAGGAAGTTACACCATCATCGGCATCAAGTGGCGACATGTGCTTTTCCAGCAGCCCCGGCAGTTTCAGGCTGTGAGCCGAGTCCACTCCAAATAGAGCCTTCAGCTTGTCGTCGAATACAGCGGTGTTGGGCCCGGTCTTGAGGTCGTTGGCCCGGATGTAACTCCACACCAGACTCATCGCCTCGAATACGCTCAGCTGCTCATGCTGTGGCATGGGAAGGCGTGGCGGGAAACGGAAGAGAGGCGAGGGGGGGTAAAGGCTGTCTTCAGACCATTGGCCTGGATGTATCTCCAAGCCAGACTCATTGCCTCGAATATGCTCAGCTGCACGTGCTGTGGCATGGGAGGGGGTGGGTGGAGGAGAGGGGTGAAGGGGAGGAATGGTTGTCTTGAGGTCGTTAGCCCGGATGTATCTCCACACCAGGCTCATCACCTCGAATACGCTCAGCTGCTCGTGCTGCAGTGGGAGAGTAGGGGTGGAGGGGGTTGCTTTCAGGCCTTTTCGCCTATTATCTCTTTTAGCTGCTCTGACGGCTGCTTAAGCAGCCTGTTCAGACAAGTCCGCTCCTCGCCAAAGCTAAACCCTTACCAACTTCTCTCAACCGTTCTCAATCCACACTCACCTCCCTTCGCTGCTCTGACTGACGGTCTTTTGGGAAACCTGTTCAGACAAATCCGCTCCTCGTCGAATCTAAGAGCCCACTCCGCCGCTCTCTGGCTTTCAGTAAGAGCACGTTCAAGCAGGTGACTCTTGAATCGACTCAAAAGACACGTTCAAGCAGGTGACTCTTGAATCGACTCAAAAGACACGTTCAAGCAGGTGACTCTTGAATCGACTCAAAAGACACGTTCAAGCAGGTGACTCTTGAATCGACTCAAAAGACACGTTCAAGCAGGTGACTCTTGAATCGACTCAAAAGACACGTTCAAGCAGGTGACTCTTGAATCGACTCAAAAGACACGTTCAAGCAGGTGACTCTTGAATCGACTCAAAAGACACGTTCAAGCAGGTGACTCTTGAATCGACTCAAAAGACACGTTCAAGCAGGTGACTCTTGAATCCACGCAAAAGACACGTTCAAGCAGGTGACTCTTGAATCGACTCAAAAGACATGTTCAAGCAGGTGACTCTTGAATCGACTCAAACGACACGTTCAAGCAGGTGACTCTTGAATCGACTCAAAAGACACGTTCAAGCATGAAAGCCAGAGAGCGGCGGAGCACCCATGCAATGAAAGCACGTACAATACCCCCACCCAGCACGCTCTCTGGCTTCAGTAAAGCACGTTCAAGCTTGATAGTACAATACCCCCACCCAGCACCCAGCCCAATCACCAATCACCCCACCCTCTCCAATCACCTCTTTTAATCGCTCGCAAAAATTAAGCTGTTATCAACCGCTCTCAACCTTTCTCAACCGTTCTCAACCATTTACAATCCACACCGCCTACCTCGCCTATAATTGCTTTAAGCCGCTCTGACGGTCGTCTGGGAAGCCTGTTCAGGAGTGTCCGCCCCTGGCCAAAGCTAAGCTGTTATCAACCGCTCTCAACCCACACCTACCTCTCCGATGACCTCCTTTAGCCGCTCTGACGGTCTTCTGGGAAGCCTGTTTAGGAGTGCCCTCTCCTGGCCAAAGCTTAGCCCACTCTCTCTCTTCTTCACCTCCCGTCTGCTCCTCCCCTCCCTGACCATCCCACCCTCTTCGCTACCTCCTCCCTCATCCCCTTCAGAAGCCGATTCTTTAAAAGTCACTGCTTGATGCTCCCCTCCCTCCTCTCCTTCAGAATCCTCTGCTTGAGGCTTCCCTCCTCCCTCTCTGTCTAGTGGCTGCATGTGCCTCGATAGAAGGCTCAGTAGTTGGAATCTGTGAGCCGACTCCACCGCGAATAAACTCTTCAGCTTGCCGTCGAATGCGGCTGTGTGGGGCCCGGTTTTGAGGTTGTTGGCTTGGACGTACCTCCACACCAGGCTCGTGGCTTCAACCAGGCTCAGCTGCTCGTGCTGCAAGAGGGGAGGGGTGGAGGAGAGGGGTGAAGAGGGTGAAGAGGGGAAAGGTTGTTCTAAGGTTGTTGGCTTGGACGTACCTCCACACCAGGCTCATGGCTTCAACCAGGCTCAGCTGCTCGTGCTGTGGGAGGGGAGGGGTGGAGGAGAGGGGTGAAGAGGGGTGAAGAGGGGTGAAGAGGGGAAAGGTTGTTCTCAGGTTGTTGGCTTGGACGTATACGCTTTTTCGGGGCCACATATACGCTAGGTATGCGCTTGTCCGGGCAGGCGAAAACTTCTCTCCGGGCAGGGAGAAAAAACCGTGTATAGGGAGGGGGGAAAGGGGGAATGTGGTGCGGGCCATAGTTTTTCATAGCAGCATGAACCAGAGAACATAGTTAAGCCTTTCAGGCATAAATAACCGCCATATCAAGGTTTTATCATGTCGACATGGCGCTGCCTAAAAAACGAGGCGACGTGGCACTCCCTAAGCGAAGATTTTAGCTTAGTCTGCCGCCTAATTTGGCTGGTAAGTTACGCTGCGCAATCTGTTCTAGGTTTAGCGCGTTCAAGGTAAGAGGTAGACAGAGCACATTTGACGTTTGGTTGGGTTTGGTAGATGCCTCGGGATGCAGTGCGGTTGGGGGGGCAGATTGGTTGGAAGTTGGATTTGGGCAAAAAACTGGGGTCTCGACATTTCGTGATAGTGTGGCTGGCTTCGCCACGTCGCGATGTGGCGATCATTTTTTTTTTTCCCGACGGGCTGCGCCCGAAATTTCAGCCGAGCGTATAGCGTTTATACGCTCGTATAGCGCATATACGCTGCTTATATACGCTAAACGCCGTGGATTCTGACCGTTTAGTGCAACTTAGCTCCACACCAGGCTCATGGCTTCAACCAGACTCAGCTGCTCGTGCTGTGGGAGGGGAGGGGTGGAGGAGAGTGATGAAGAGGGGGATAGGTTGTTCTCAGGTTGTTGGCTTGGAATTCGGGTTTAGGGTTTAGGGTTTACACCACAACCGGGACGGTGGACGACACCGGTGGACGGTGACGGTGGACGGTGGACGCCACCGGTGGATGGTGGACGGTGGACGGTGGGCGCCACCGGTGGACGGTGGACGGTGGACGGTGGACGGTGGACGCCACCGGTGGACGGTGGACGCCACCAGTGGACAGTGGACGCCACCGGTGGATGGTGGACGGTGGACGGTGGACGCCACCAATGGACGATGGACGCCACCAGTGGACGGTGGACGGTGAACGGTGGACGGTGGACGCCACTGGTGGACGGTGGACGATGGACGGTGGACGGTGGACGCCACCGGTGGACAGTGGACGACACCGGTGGATGGTGGACGCCATTGGTGGACGATGGCACCACCAGTGGACGGTGGACGGTGGACGCCACCGGTGGACGGTGGACGACACCGGTGGACGGTGGACGCCACCACTGGACGGTGGACGGTGTACAGTGGACGCCACCGGTGGACGGTGGACAACACGGTGGATGGTGGACGGTGGACTGTGGACGGTGGACGGTGGACTGTGGACGGTGGACGCCACCGGTGGACGGTGGACGGTGGACGCCACCGGTGGACGGTGGCCGGTGGACGCCACGGGTGGACGCCACCGGTGGACGGTGGAAGGTGGACGCCACCGGTGGATAGTGGATGGTGGACGCCACCGGTGGACGGTAGACGGTGGACGCCACCGGTGGACGGTTGACAGTGGACACCACCGGTGGACGGTGGACGGTGGAGGTCTCCGCTGCCCCCTTTGCTCTGTTTCTCCTCTCTCTCAACCATTCTCAACCGTTCTCGATGGCTCTCATCCATTCTCAGCCGTTATCAACCGCTCTCAACCGTTTGTAACCCACACTCACCTCCTTCCCAATAATCTCCTTAAGCTGCTCTGACGGTTTCCTGGGAAGCCGTATCAGACGAGCACGCTCTGCCCCTCCTTTGTATCCGTGGCCTCGCTCCTCCTCCTCAGCATCGGAATCGGTCTTTGCGTTCCTCCCAGCCTCCTTCCTTTCCTCCTTTCTCTGCCGTTTCACCATGCCTGCCTCTTCAGGAGCCTCCAAAGGCCTTTCAGTGTCCCCTGTCGCAGCGGCATCCACTTTCCTCGCGTCAGCTGCTCCCGCCTCCTTGCTCCTTTTCACACTCACCTCCTGGCTACCTTTCTTGCCTGCCTTTTCAGAAACCTCCAAAGGATTTTCCATCCCCCCTCTCTCAGGTGCCTTCCCCCCATCCGCTTTGCTCACTCCCGCTTCCTCACCCTGCCCCTCCTTGCTCCTCTCCGCACTCGCCTTTCCTCCTTTCCCCACATCAACAGCCTGCGCCCCCTCTCCTGTCAACACCGTCTCTCGCTCATTCTCTCCGCTCTCCCCTCCCTTCGCATCCTTCCTTGCGCTTTTGCTTGTCTCCACTTCAACCACCTTGCCTCCCTTGCCGGCCTTAACAGCCTCAACAGCTTCCGCCCCCTCATCTCCACTTCCATTGCCCACTCCTTTGCTCGCGTCAGCTGCCTCCCCCGCCTCCCCCTTATTGCTCCTTTTCGCACTCGCCTTTCTTCCTTTCCCTAATTCAACAGCTTCCGTCCCCTCCCCCTTCGGCGCCGTCTTTCCCTCTACCTCTCCCTTAACCTCTTCTCTTGCAACAGCTGCCCCGTTGCTTGCCCCTTTGCTCGCCCCTTTACTTGTTGCCACTTTAGCCGCCTTGCCTCCCTTGCCGGTCTCTGCAGCTTTAGCAGCTTTCCTTGTCGCTGCTCGCTCCACCCTTGCTTGCTTCACCTGCAGTCGCTCAATTGCGCTCTCTAGCGTCACATCATCTATAACAACATTCTGCAGGGGTGGGGGTAAGGGTGGTTGGGGGTGGGGTGGGGGAGGGAGGAGAAGATTTGTTTGTCCTCGCTTGCTTCACCTGTAGTCGCTCAATGGCGCTCTCTAGAGTCACATCGTCAATAGCCACGTTCTGGAGGTATGCCGGGGCCGGGGGCGGAGAAAAGGGGGGGTGCGGTGGGAAGAGGGGGGGGGAGCAGGAAGGGGTGGGGGCGCTGGTATTGTGTGGGAGATCCAGGGGTGCAATCCAAACCTTGCCTGCTGCTTCACTTGAAGACGCTCAATAGCGCCCAGAACAGAGTCACATCACATCGTCAACAGCAACGTTCTGCTGGGGAGGGTCCAAAGAGAAGCCAAAGGAATCGTTGACGATACACATATTCCCATATGCACATAGTGCACCGCACATCACCATATCTCCTCCCAGAGATTCTTGAGAACTCTAAAAAATCTCTCTCAAATAGAAGCCAAAAGAATCGTTGACGATACACATATCCCCACACGCACATATAGCCATTAAGCGTTAGGGTGGGCAGCAGCGAAGAGGAGAAACTTTAGCAAAAAGAGTGACAGTGGGTGAATTGATACCCCTGTTAAAAACCGAGAATTCGAAGCTCCGAACTCAACTCCACTAGAAGATTAAAACGCAAACTAGTTTCGGCTGACTGGGACAGGCCCCAAATCAGACCTTCATCAGTGCTGGTGGAATTATAAAAGTGAGTTTACAAGCGAGCTCTTAAACAAAGACTGCGCTACGAGAACAACAACTTCAAGGTTGGAACAACCGTGACTGAAATCTGGTCAGCCAATCCAAAACACCCTGGAAAGTTCCAAGGTGCCAGGTCTTCATTCCTCGGGGCGTGTCGTGGGTAACCCACATCTCGCCAGCTGGTGCTCAGGGAGCCTCGCGCGAACAAGTAACTTTTGCAAGTTACGCCCAGCCTTCCATGCGACAAAAATTCTCTCAGTGTATAATCCGTGTGTAATGAGTCGACTCAAAACGACCCCTAGTTTGAGACGGGCCGACACAGGTGTGTAGGTCGTCTTCAGAACTAGGGGTCCACGTGATGAGGGGAGAGAATGTCGTCGAAGTTGCTGGTTTGCGAGAGTGTTGGCGAGTAGTGTTGCGCGTTGCGCGAAAAGGACGCCCTTGAAGATCGGTTGAAGGAAAGCAGGGGGGTAACCCCGGTCGCGAAGCCGCTGGAAGAAAGCCTGCTTCGTTGCAAGAAAGGTGCGCATGGAGGTCGAACGCAGTAAGTAACGCTGCAGTTCGGCGCGTATGAAACCTTCCTTGCAGTGTCGGGGGTGGAAGGAGGAAAAGGGGAGGTAGAGGTATCTGTTCATCGGTTTCTGAAAAGTGCCGAGGTCCAGACGACCGCACTCCTTGAAACGCTGCCCCTTGTGGAGGACAACATCCAGAAAATCAACGGAGTGCTCCGAGATATTCCACGTGATCCTGATGGAAGGATCCAAGCCGTTGAAAGTTCGCAGGTACTCCTCCAGGTCAGCCCGCGAGCCTGGCCAAATGATAAGGCCATCGTCGATGTAACGGACGTGGTAACTTGGTGATATCCCGGTCCACCTCTCCTTGAGCAGCTCGTCGAGACGGCTCATAAAGAGGACCGCAAAGCAGACTGCGACTGGAGTTCCCATCGCAGTGCCTTGTACTTGATGAAAAATCCTGCCGTCGAATTCCACGAAAGAATTCCTCATGACCCATCCCAAGAAAGCCATGAGCGGTTGAGCGAGCTGTGTTGGTGCCCTCAGAAGAAAATTGCTAACTGCTTCGAGCCCTCGATTGATGGAGATGCTTGGGTAAAGCGAGGTGACGTCGTAGGTGGCCAGAAGTACAGTTGGTGGAAAGACCGTAGCTTCCAGCTTCGCTAGCAAAGAGAGGGAGTCGCGCAGGTAGGTCGGTTGTTTGAGTACTAGCGGTCGTAGTTGAGAATCCAGCCATCGGCTCACATTAGTCGTGACCCAGGAGTGTGAGGCGGCGATCGGTCGTCCCACGGGTACTTTCTTGTGAAGCTTCGGCAGGATGTAGAATGCCGCTGATCGCCAACCCCCTGGCGGTCGATCGAAAAAGTATTTCCAAAGACTGTCAGGAAAAGCAGGTCCCCACGTCGCCTTCAGCTCCACCAGTTGCTGTAGAACAGAAGGAGTTGGGTCGTGATGAACCGGCTGGTACACTATCGCATCCTCAAGATGCTCCATGCAGAGAGCGATGTAGTGCGCGCGGTCCATCACAGTTACTCCGACGTTTTTATCAGCAGGCTTGATGACGATGTCGCTGTCGAGCGATAAGGAGCGTAAAGCCGTTCGGACTCCTCGCGGAAGGTTAAGTCCTCGTGACGGCTTACACGCTTTCAGCAGGAAAGATAGGTCGGCTCGCGCCTCCTTGAAGACAGGCTCCGGGACCACGTCCCGCTCGGGTCTCCAGCTTGGATTCTTCACCCGGAAACGTGACGAGGCTGAAGACCCTTGATCCTTGAAGAAAAAATTGAGGGAGATCCGTCGATGCAGTTGATCCAGATCTGCTTCGATGGAAAAATTCCATGGCGGCGTAGGTACGAATTTGAGTCCCATCCCGAGCGCCTTGGTTTCGTCGTGAGATAAAACCTTGGAGCTCAGGTTGTGTACCCCCCGGTTCCGGACGCGTGACTGCAGCTGCTGTAAAGTCAGTCGTCCGAACCGGCGGAGTGCGAGATCTCGTGCAGTTAGTTCTTGCGCGGCCCTTTTCCTGGGCCGCCGCCGCCGTTTTTTGGAACTTGGGCCGTAGTCGAGGAAGATTGTTGGCCTTTCCCTCCGCTGCCGCTTGGAGACTTCGTTTTCTTCTTGCCTCTCCCTCGTTTCTTCGGAGCCTTCGGTACATCTGCCTTGTTCCCAGAAGAGTTGTTCTTCAGGTTCTTGGACGGGTCCGCCTTGGGCTTAGAAGACGAGGGGGGCGGTTTAGGATCCTGCGATCCCATCGACAAACTCTTCTGGAACTTCGCAGTCAACTTCGCCTCGACGCTCGCAGTGACGTTCGCAGTAACGCTCGCCACAACTTCCTTGCGCATCGCCTCGACTTGCCGCTTAGTAGCTTTCAGCACGAGTTCATCGAGTACCGGAGCCGTTTCCATTTTCTCCATCTCTTCAGCAGTAGCAGCTTTCTTCAACTCTTCAGCTTCACGAGCCTTCTGCTTGTGTAGTTCCTGGATGATGATCTCATCCTTGGCGGTGACGATCTCAGACTTGGCCTGCTCGATGCACGACGCTTTGATCTTCCGGAAACGCTCTTTAGCCGCATCAGATACGGTGAGCTCGGGGTCGGAGCTGAGGCCTTGTATGTAGTCTTCGAGGTTGGCCGCTAGAACTGCCACGTGAGAGGCGGATGCTGACTGAATTTCCTCAACCTCCGCCTCCTTAGACTTGATGAAATCCTCCTGAATGCGCTTCTGGTTCTCGAGATGAACCGAGGCGACCGATGCAGCCGACTTTTCCCGCGTCAAAGGGTACTTGGTCTGGAACTCCGCGACCTTGGTGCGAAGGCTGTGAAGAATCACACCTTGCTCGTGGAGGGCCTTCATCTTCTTCAGTTTAGATTTCGCCTTGAGGAGTGCCTTGAAGTCCGTCCTGAAGCCCTTGACCGCCGCCGCCGTCCAGCCTTTGAAAGGCTCCGGAATGCGAGACATACGATCGGTAGTCGGGTTGACAGAAGCCTGATCCACAGGCTTGCCAACGTTCTGGACGTCCATGTCGGCCATGTCGGGAGAATCTTCAGATTGCTTGTCTTGCTCGTCTTCCTCGCGAATCGATGCAGAATTTCCAACTCCTTTGCCGGTGCGGGAACGTTTGTAACCTGCGTAGGTCTTGGAGGAGTGGTCCGCTCCGCGTGGAATCAGTGCGAAACTCGTATCTTCTTCGCCGGCGTCACCCAAAGAAATTGGGAAACCCAATGAACTTGTGGCCATTAAGCGTTAGGGTGGGCAGCAGCGAAGAGGAGAAACTTTAGCAAAAAGAGTGACAGTGGGTGAATTGATACCCCTGTTAAAAACCGAGAATTCGAAGCTCCGAACTCAACTCCACTAGAAGATTAAAACGCAAACTAGTTTCGGCTGACTGGGACAGGCCCCAAATCAGACCTTCATCAGTGCTGGTGGAATTATAAAAGTGAGTTTACAAGCGAGCTCTTAAACAAAGACTGCGCTACGAGAACAACAACTTCAAGGTTGGAACAACCGTGACTGAAATCTGGTCAGCCAATCCAAAACACCCTGGAAAGGTCCAAGGTGCCAGGTCTTCATTCCTCGGGGCGTGTCGTGGGTAACCCACATCTCGCCAGCTGGTGCTCAGGGAGCCTCGCGCGAACAAGTAACTTTTGCAAGTTACGCCCAGCCTTCCATGCGACAAAAATTCTCTCAGTGTATAATCCGTGTGTAATGAGTCGATTTTTGAGTCACCATATACCTTCCAGATTCACTAACCCCCAGGTGAGTCTCTCACCGTGCCCAGGGATGCTCTGATCCGCCCCACTCCTGGCAAGTCGTGCTCCAAGTAGAAGCCAAAGGGGCCGCTGCACAGATACACGGTGCCTCCCTCTGGGTGCAGGCCCTGGTGGTATTGGGGTAAGGGGGCGGGGGAAGGGGGAAGGGGGAGGAGAGGAGGTACGAGTGGAGCTTCATTTGACAGGTGAAGCTGTTGCACGGATACACGGTGCCTCCCTGTGGGTGCGGGCCCTGGTGGTATTGGGGTAGAGGGGTTGAGAAGAGGGAGGGAGAAACCAGAAAAGGGGTTGAGGAAGCGGAAAAGGAAAGAGAGAAAGAAACCAGGGCAGAGAAAAAGACACTCGAGAACGACGGAAGACGGAAAAAGGTTAGTAAAGAGCAAAAGACGGTTGAATCAACGGACACTCACTACGACTCGCGGAAATGCGAGGAGTTCGAGTGCGTTGGGGAGATCAACCGAGTCTGGATGCATGCCCTGGTGGGTGGTCGAGGGGTGCAGGCAGGGGTGGGTGGTAGAGGGGGTGCAGGCAGGGGTGGGGGAGTGAGACGCAAATGGCACAAGGGAAATGCGAGGAGCTGGAGTGCCTTGGAGAGATCAACTGAGTTTGCAGGGTATTTTTAATAATTCTTAAAAATAGGATGCATGCCCTGCAGGGGGGGGAGGGCAGACAGGGAAGGGGGAGGGAGAAGCATGGGGCAAAGGAGGGACGGAAGGCAAGCCTGGAGGGGGGATGCTAGCAGCTCGAGTGCCTTGGAGAGATCAACAGAGTCTGGATGTTACCTGGGAGAGGTGTTACCTGGGAGAGGTGTACCTGGGGGAGGTGTACCTGGGGGAGGTCTTACCTGGGAGAGGTGTTACCTGGGAGAGATGTACCTGGGAGAGGTGTACCTGGGAGAGGTGTGCCTGGGGGAGGTGTTACCTGGGAGAGGTGTTACCTGGGAGAGGTGTACCTGGGAAAGGTGTTACCTGGGAGAGGTGTACCTGGGAGAGATGTTACCTGGGAGAGGTGTTACTTGGGAGAGGTGTTCCCTAGGACGTGGTACTTACCAGGGGCAGCGAGGCTCAGTGGACTTTGGAGACGTTGCCGTATGACGACCACTCTACACAGGGCGGGGCAGCGCATGCGTCACATGGGGAAGTGTTACCTGATGGAGGTGTTACCTAGAAGAGGGGAGGTTTTATCTGGGAGATGCTACTAACCGGGGGCAGCGAGGCTCGGTTGACTTTGGAGACCTTGCCGTACGATGACCGCTCCACATAGGCGCCATACGGGCCCACTTTGAGCCAGATCTGTAGAGTAGATTGGAGGGATGAAAACAAGAGAGAGAAATGCACCATGAAAACTATGACATGCTCTGATGTCATATGACGACCGCTCCACATAGGCGCCGTAGCCGTAGGGCCCCACTTTGAGCCAGATCTGTAGAGTGGATTGGAGAGATGAAAACAAGAGAGGGAGGCAAGCCACGGGGACCCACTCTGAGCCGTTTCCCCTGGCACTTTGCACCAGTATTCGGATCGTTGCCAATGATTTGCGCACTGGGTTGCCACTGCTAGCCCGCTGCTAGCCCCACCCATCCCATAACGCCCATCTCCCTCCCCCCCCTCCCCATCCCCACCTTGGCCCCCGTGTTGGGGTCCTCCCCAGTGATATGCACAACTGGGTCGATTGCCACCACACCTGTGCTAGGGCTCCCGGCTTGTCCACTTGCTCCACCACACCTGTGCTTTCCCCCTCTCACCTTGGCCCCTGTGTTTGGCCCAGCCCACCCTCCCCCACCCCTCCCTCACACAGTCAACCCCTCCCCCACCCCTCCCTTCTTCTGACCTTGGCCCCTGTGTTGGGGTCCTCCCCTATGACATGCGCAACTGGGTCGATTGCCACTGCTAGGGCGCCCGGCTTGTCCTCCTGCTCCACCACACGGGCCTTGAAGCTGCAAGAGAGAAGGGGGGGGAGGGAGGGAGTCACAAAGAAAGGCTTTAACTGCCAATTGCCACTGCTAGGGCGCCTGGCTTGTCCTCCTGCTCCACCACTCGTGCCTTGAAGCTGCCAAGGGGGCGGGCGGAAAGGGGGAGAGGGAGAGAAGCGTGCTATTACGCAGAAGGGAAGGGAAGGAACGGAGGGAGGGCAGGCGACATAACTCATGACTATAGCAAAAACAGAAGAGAGGAAAAAATGGTCGACAGATTGGCGCGTGGGGTACGGAGAATGCAATTTTTTCTTGCCTTGAAGCTGCGGGGGGGCCGGATGGGGGGAGGGGGAAAGGGAGAGAAGCGTGCTATTACGCAGCAACAAGAACTCATAACTAAAGCGAAAAGAGAAGAGATTGAGATTTAGTTTTGAGGCGCCTCAAAACTAGCTGCGGGGGGGGGGGGGGGGGGGGGGGGGGGTCCGGGGAGGGGGAAAGGGAGAGTAGCGTGCTATTACGCAGCAACAAGAACTCATAACTAGTACCAGTAAAAAGAGGAGAGATTGAAACTTGCACGGAATGGGAACAGAGGAAGAGATGGTGAACGGATTGGCACGTGGGAGGGATACATCATACACAACACAGAAAGCATTTTATTTTTGGTGACTAAAAAAGAAGAGAAAGAAAAAGGGCCGACAGACTGGCATGTGGGGTAAGCGGAGCAGCCCAAAAAGAGGCCCACGCCGCGCGGTGACTTTTGAGTCGACTCACGAGTCACCCTTGGCACAAACAGGAAGGCCGGCTCACTGGCATGTGGGGTAAGCCGAGCAGCCGACAAAGAGCCCCACGCCGCGGCTGGAGAAGTTGTACTCCAGCTCGCCTGACCCGCAACTGATGGATGGGAGGGGGGAAGTGGGGGGGGAGGGGCACAGAGTGGGGGGGGTAGGAGAGAAAGAGAGGAGTTGAGAGCCCCACGCCGCGGCTGGAGAAGGTGTACTCGAGCTCGCCTCTCGCACAGCTGGGGGGGTATGAGGGGGGGCAAAGGGGAACGAAGGCGACGAGGAAGTGGGGGGTTTGAGTTGAGCCCCAAGCCGCGGTTGGGAAGAGTTACTCGAGCTCGCCTCTGCCACAGTGAGGTGGACAGCGAGGTGGGGGAGGGGGGGGGGGAGGGGGGGAAGGGGAGAGGCAGGTTAGATGTGTGTTGAGGCCCTTGCGCACATGACGTGGCTTGAGAAGGTGTACTTGAGTTGGCCGCTCTCACAGCTGGGGGAGAAGAGGGGGAGGAGGGAGGCACAGAGGAATATGAGAAGGTGTACTCGAGCTTGCCTGATGATATGGACCTGGAAAAGGGGGGAGGGGGTGTTGGGGGGGTTGTCGGGGGGGTGTTGGGGGTTTGTCGGGGGGGGTGTTGGGGGGGTTGTCGGGGGGGTGTTGGGGGGTTGTCGGGGGGGGTGTTGGGGGGTTGTCGGGGGGGGTGTTGGCAAGGTCACCTAGCGCGTGATAGGAGTCTAGTTTTGAGGCGCCTCAAAACTAGGCCCGGGGTCACTGAAATCCACTATGGTTGAAACTTGAAAGAGCAATACAGCAGAAGCAACAAGGACACACCCCAACCCTCAACCAAAAGGAACCGGTTAGGCGAGCTGCGTATTTCTCAATGTGCGTCTTCAAGCCGCGTTTCCCCCGCTTCCCATTGGCCCGTCGAATTTCATCCGCCAGCTCCGTCGTCCCCTTAAAACTTCCCCACCTACCACCCACCTACTTTCCCCAACCCTCGATGTTCTTCATATAGTACACCTGCGTACCATACAGTAATATACACCATACATCCTCCAAACACTTTACTCCTTCAGTCCCTCTTGTCATATAAATGGTGGATTGCTCTGCCATTTCTGTGACAAGTTGAGAGGTCGAAAAGGGGAATCATTTTTTAGAATTCTAAAAAATGACTCCACTGTAGCAGGAGGAGGTAAAAAAGGGAATCGAGAGGGCACCTGGGACAAGCCTTGGAAGCTGATGGTGGTGACAGGGATGCTACCGATGATGATGCGGATGGTGTTGCCACCGCTGATGGTGACAGTTCCAAAGTGGGAGGTGACGGGGAGGCGGAGGAGGAAGGGGTGGCGGAGGAGGGAGGGATGGAGGAGAAGGGAGGAGCAGAAGCGCGGGCACGGGCATCGGAAAGCACTTGGGAGTACGTCGCTGCTGCCTCCACGAGTAGCCCATCGCCCAGCGTCACTTGCACAGCCGACCCAACCTGAGGGATATGGAAGTGGGGAGAGGAAGGTAGGAAGTGCGAGGTTGGGATGTGAGGAGCTCATAAGACACAAGGCACACGCACTTGATAGTAGGTCTCTCTCTGCTCCTTCCATGCTTTTGAGTCGACTCAAAAGCACCTCAAAACTAGATTCTCTGCTCCTTCCATGCTTTTGAGTCGACTCAAAAGCGCCTCAAAACTAGACTCTCTGCTCCTTCCATGCTTTTGAGTCGACTCAAAAGCGCCTCAAAACTAGACTCTCTGCTCCTTCCATGCTTTTGAGTCGAATCAAAAGCGCCTCAAAACTAGACTCTCTGCTCCTTCCATGCTTTTGAGTCGACTCAAAAGCATGGAAGGAGCAGAGAGTCTAGTTTTGAGACGCACTTGATAGTAGGTCTCTCTCTGCTCCTTCCATGAGTGGCCCATCGCCCAGAGTCACTTCCACCGCCGACCCGACCTGAGGGGTGGGGTAAGCGGGGAGCGAGGATTGGAGAAACGGAAGTGTGAGGTTGGGCTTATGGAATCTCGTAAGACACAAGGCAAGCACTTGCGAGTAGGTCGCTGCTGCTTCTATCAGTAGCCCATCGCCTGGAGTCACTTGCACAGCTGAGCCCACCTGCGGGGTAAGAAAGAGTGGTGGGACCTGAGAATGAAAGCTAAGGGTATTTCACATGAAAGCACTTGGGCGTAGGTCGCTGCTGCTTCCACCAGTAGCCCATTGCCGGGAGTCACTAGCACTGCTGACCCAACCTGAGGGGTAAGAAAGATAGGGCATGCAGCAGCTCCGGTGCAAGGGACAGGAAACATAGACTCATGTCACCAGTCAACACCAGGACATCCACTTGCCCCTCCCTTCCCCTCCTCAACCCCCATTCTCTCTAATCACTCCCCCCCTCCCTCCCCTCCACCACTCACAGCTTGAGGCGATAGCTTCTGCATTTCCTCCACTCTCGGTTGGAAGTCGTTCCAGAAGGTTCTGAGAACCTTCCGCCAGTCTCCTTCTCCTGCTGCCACGTCATCAAACTGCAATGAACGGAGGAAGCCGGGAAGAAACGGCAGGGGGAAGGATTTTGGAAACCGACTCGAGCATATATGTTCTATGCCAACGTGCTGTGGGTCGTTTCTCAGCAGCTCACCTTGGACTCGAGGCGTGCCGTGAAGCCTGCATTGACGTACGGCTCCATAAAGTGCAGGAGACTAGTTTTGAGGCGCCTCAAAACATCAAGTGCAGGAGACTAGTTTTGAGGCGCCTCAAAACATCAAGTGCAGGAGACTAGTTTTGAGGCGCCTCAAAACATCAAGTGCAGGAGGAAAGAATGCGCTGGCCTGCAGTTTCCTGAGCTGGAAGGCAGACATATCCTGCAGGGTGAGAATTCTCAAAAACACCCTGCAAAAACGGAAGGCAGACATATCCTGTGCAGGAAATGTAGCTTTGAGGCGCCTCAAATGTAGCATCACAGGAATGCCTGCTAGACTTCTCAGCAGCTCACCTTGGACTCGAGGCGGGCAGTGAAGCCTGCATTGACGTATGGCTCCATAAAGTGCAGGAGGAAGGCGTTTGCCTGCAGACAGGGAAGAGCAAAGGAGCACACATGCATGCATGGAAACAAACAGGGTTGCACGAGGCCAGTTAGTGAGGCGCATCAAACAAAGCATATTCTCCAGGCGGCTCAGAGGCAGCGGAGGAGAAACGCCCATTGATGTGCAGCAGTAAGTAAGGCAGGAAATGCGCTGATGAAGGCCTCTGCTGGCCGAAACGCGTTTGTTCGCACGCGGCATTCGGGCCTATGTGTCTGAGGTGACTTTTGAGTCGACTCAGAGGTCCGTGTGTAATGAGTCGATTTTTGAGTCAACTCAGAGGTCCGTGTGTAATGAGTCGATTTTTGAGTCGACTCAAAAATCCGTGTGTAATGAGTCGATTTTTTAGTCGACTCAGAGGTCCGTGTGTAATGAGTCGATTTTTGAGTCGACTCAGAGGTCCGTGTGTAATGAGTCGATTTTTGAGTCGACTCAAAAATCCGTGTGTAATGAGTCGATTTTTGAGTCGACTCAAAAATCCGTGTGTAATGAGTCGATTTTTGAGTCGACTCAGAGGTCCGTGTGTAATGAGTCGATTTTTGAGTCGACTCAGAGGTCCGTGTGTAATGAGTCGATTTTTGAGTTGACTCAGAGGTCCGTGTGTAATGAGTCGATTTTGAGTCGACTCAGAGGTCCGTGTGTAATGAGTCGATTTTTTAATCGACTCAGAGGTCCGTGTGTAATGAGTCGATTTTTGAGTCGACTCAGAGGTACGTGTGTAATGAGTCGATTTTCGAGTCGACTCAGAGGTCCGTGTGTAATGAGTTGATTTTTTAGTCGACTCAGAGGTCCGTGTGTAATGAGTCGATTTTTGAGTCGACTCAGAGGTCCGTGTGTAATGAGTCGATTTTTGACAGAGGTCACCTATATGTCTGGCTTTCTGACGAAGAAAAAATCCTGCAACCATTCTCACAGTCTAGTTCAGTTTAAGTCCAGTTTTAAGATCCACACTTAGCAGGCGTGCTGCGGATCAGACCCATCGCGTTTTCATTGATGTGCTGGAGTAAGGCAGCTCTAACGCCAGACACAATAGGCCCGGATGTCGCGTGCAAACTCGTTTCGGCCAGCAATAGGCATTCATCAGCACACTGGCTGGAGAAGCCATCTCCTTTTCATATGTGCTGGAGTAAGGCAGTTCTAACTAAGGGTCTTACGTTAAAATAAAGGCGCAACTTCTAACGGTTTTCCGAACAAAGGCATGCCCGCCTCACCACCACAACTACGGACAAATCAAATCAAATCAAATCATCATGAATGTCGGTAACTCACCAGCCTCCCCCTTATTGTGGGGTGCAACCTGCGAGAATCCAACTCCACATACTTGCGATCCTGGGGAGAGCGGTGGGAATGAAGGAAGGGGGGAGAGGGGCGGGGAGCAAAAGGGTGAGGAAGGAGAGGGGGGGAGGAAAGGGAGAAAGGAGGCACGGGTGAAGAGAGATGTGACAAGACACATGTGATTGCAGAGAGAGGTGACGTGATTACAGGAGGAGAAAGCCATGACAACCAGAACAGAAGAATATGATTAAAGCGGAAGTAATCTCATCAGGAACAATGCATTTACTAGCATGTGATTACACGGAGATGTGATTACTAGGAGATGTGTTTACAAGGAGAGTCTTGAGTGTGGGTGCATAGGTGGATGGTCTTCCTATCCCCTCCGCTTCCATTCGCTTGATCTGACAAGTGGGGAGGGGAGGGGGTGGGGCGACAGGGGGTGGGGGGGGATGGACAAGAAAGGCCATGATGTAACAGAGGGTAGGATAGAACCATAAAATCGTTAGTAGCAGGCATATGGTACTGTACCTAGTACGGGGGATAATTATACTCTTTTGCATACGGTGCAGAGGCTAATGCGCATGTGGTACTGTAATTAATACTCAATTTTAAAGGGACAAATCTCTTCCCCCCCTAGCTTCTGAACCCTTGCCAAGGCACCCTGAGTGGGCTTTTGAGAATTCTCAAAAGCGGCGGTGATGAAGGTCAGAAGCTTACTATAGCAGCCTCGGTGTATGTTTTGAGTCAACTCAAAATTCTGAAAAAACAACAGTGATACAGGCCAAAAGTATACCAGAGCTGCCTCAGTGTATCTGGGAGGGGGGCGCGTGAAGTGCTGATTGGGATCCACGGATTCGACCAATAGCCTGTCGCCAGGCTGGCGAGTTGGGGGGAGGAAGAGGTGAAGAGAACAAGAGGGGAGGGAGGAATAAAAGTGAACGGATCTTACCAGCGCTCATGGATGGTAGGATCAAGCATATGCAAGCCGGGATCGATTGTTTTAAAACCGAAAGGAAGGAAGAGCGAGATAGAAGGGATCGGAAGGGGTAATGATTTCTGATATACCGCAAAAAAACCATTCATTCATTCATTCATTCATTCATTTCATTCATTCATTCATTCATTCATTCATTCTTTCTTTCTTTCTTTCTTTCATTCTTTCATTCTTTCATTCTTTCATTCTTTCATTCTTTCATTCTTTCATTCTTTCATTCATTCATTCATTCATTCATTCATTCATTCATTCATTCACTCATTCATTCACCTGCAGAGCATTGCTCGGAAATACACCACCAGTTCTAAGATATCGCTAAAAATATGCACCTGCAGGGCCATGATTTCCTGGAACACTTCTGACGTGGCAGCAGCACTGTCAGCCTCTGCTGACGTGGCATCGCCAGGTGGTGGTTCTGTGGAGATCCCTTCTGACAGGTCAGACAGGTGACCTAGCGCTGCCCGATCCTGATTGGAGGGGGGAAGGGGAAGACAAGAGAGGGATAAACATTTTGAGGGAACAAATTCGGAGCTCCCTTGTAGAATGTATTATCACAAGGTAGGTACTTGTGACTTCCACTAGCGTGAAGCTTTCAAAAAGCTGGAAGACAAGCAGTAGCCAGTTTTGTAACAGAGCACTGTTGGTTTTTAGGATTCTAAGAAAAAAACTCAAACTGACACAAGCAGTGACCAGAATTGCAACAGAGTACTACTAACGAAACGACTCACACTATAGACAGCGAGGAAGCCAGAGCACACAATGGCGAAGGAGTTGGCTCGAAGCATGCCAGGCGAAGAGGATGGGAGCTGAGGAGCCTCGAGCACAAGTTGTGTTTTGAGGCGCCTCAACCTTGGCTTGCGTGGGGTCAGATGGTACAGGTGCCAGGGACTCACACTATAGGCATGTGACTTTGAGTCGACTCAAAAGTCACCTTGGCTTGCGTGGGCTCAGATCGTACCGGTACCAAGGACTCACGCTGTAAGCAGCAAGGAAGCCAGGCCATGCGATGGCAAAGGCGTTGGCTCGCAGCATGGCAGGAGGAGGGGATGGGAGCTTAGGAGCCTCAGAAGTCACCAGGTGGTATCATTGTAGCAACAAACTAGCGACTTACACTGTAGGCCGCAAGGAAGCCAGGCCACGCAATGGCAAAGGAGTTGGCTCGGAGCATGGCAGGAGGAGAGGATGCATTTTGAGGCCGCTCAACAAGCAGTTGAGACTCAGGTGCCTCGAGCATTGGTGAAGGGGGTGCATCGGGTGCTTCGATGGGGGGTGGCACGGAGGGGAGAGAGGACTGCGAGGAGGCAGGAGAGGGGAAGTTGGAGAGCAGGGAGGGGTCACGGGGATGTGCCGCGACGTCCACTGCTACCTGAGAGGGGGGACAAGCGGGGAGTTTTAAGGAACGAGGGAAATCCGTAGGTGACTTTAGTTTTGAGGCGCCTCAAAACGCGACGTCCACTGCTACCTGAGAGGGGGGGAATGCGGGGAGTATAAGGAACGTAGGTGACTTTTGAGTCGACTCAAAAGTCACCCATGGAGTATAAGGAACGAGAAGACATGATGAGAGAGAGGGAGGGGCGTAGGGCCAACAAGGAGGGGCATGGGAAGGTAGAATGGAGAGGGTTGAGAGAACAGGATGGAAGGAGGGGAGCGAGAGTGACGGGCAGCAAAAAGAGAGTTTTTTTCTTTCTGCAATCTGACAGTAGTGTGCTTGCTTGCTCCTACACAAAAGGGGAACTCCCTTTCAGCGAACAGTGTACTCTCCACTAAGAGCGAGTGTAACCAACGTACTCACCCGTAAAAAGCGAGTGTAAACAGCATACTCATCATACGCACCCTGTCGTAGACAGCGTTTGCCATCTGAGAGGCAGCGAATCGAGCCCAGATGAGCGCATAGAGCTTCCACTGCTCCTCCGACAGATCAGCCTTTACCAGGCCTGGAGTGGGGAGAAGTGGGTTGGTCGGGGGGATGTCGAGGTGTAAGGGAGGGGGTGTAAGACGGGAGGGCAACTATCAGGCACGAAGGTCCAAATGAGCGTGATAGAAGTCTAGTTTTGAGGCGCCTCAAAACTGGGAGGGGGTGTAAGAAGGGAGGGCAACTATCAGGCAACTATCAGGCAACTATCAGGCAACTATCAGGCAACTATCAGGCAACTATCAGGCAACTATCAGGCAGCTATCAGGCAACTATCCCTCCCTTCTTCGTGCGCACGAAGGTCCAAATGAGCGCATACAGCGTCCACTGCTCCTCCGTCAGATCAGCCTTAACCAGCGCTGGAGGGGGTGTGGAGATGTAAGGGAACGGGTGTAAGAAGGGGGAAGTAACTATCAGGCACGAAGGACAAAATGAGTCCTGTACAGCATCCACTGCTCCTCCGTCAGATCAGCCCTCACCAGTGCAGGGGGAGGGGAAGGAAGGGATCGGACGAAAGTCGGGTGCAAAGGAGGCAGAGGGGAAGATCCGGCAGGGCATAAGATCCGGCCCATATGAGAGCGTACAGCTTCCATTGCTCCTCTGTCCGATCAGCCTTTACCAGCACTGGAAAGAAGTGGGGGAGGGAAGGAAGGCGGCCGTGGAGGGGGTGGGTAAAGGGAGAAGGGTGGGGTGGGGGGGAGGGAGGGAGAACGCAGGGGGGAGGGTGGCAATCAGATCCGAAGACTGCCCAATGCTCAAGAGTACCAAGCTCAAGAGCACCAAGCTCAAGAGCACCCACGCTCACGAGCACCCACGCTCAAGAGTACCCACGCTCAAGAGCACCCACGCTCACGAGCACCCACGCTCACGAGCACCCACACCCAAGAGCACCCACGCCCAAGAGCACCCACGCTCAAGAGCACCCACGCTAAAGAGCACCCACAATCAAGAGCACCCACACTCAAGAGCACCCACACTCAAGAGCACCCACACTCAAGAGCACCCACGCTCAAGACCACCCACACTCAAGATAACCCACGCTCAAGAGCACCCACACTCAAGAGCACCCACGCCCAAGAGCACCCACGCCCAAGAGCACCCACGCCCAAGAGCACCAAGGGCACCCACGCCCAAGAGCACCCACGCTCAAGAGGGGGGAATGGGGGCGGACGGGGAGACGGCACGTATGGGTGTATGGGTGTGGTACAGACCCACTTACACGTCTGGGTGTATGGTTGTGGTACAGACCCACTTACCGTAATCCCCCGCATAGTGCACCCCCCAAAATTGAACACTCACCGGGAGTTTAATTCCGGTGGGTGTTATCCCAGATTCCCCACTTAGAACACCCGGCAAATCGATTTTTGAGATTTTCATAACACCCTCCACCTTTTTCAAGTCGACAGGTTAGAAACAAAGGCATTCGCATTCGCACCACCCAACATCACGCATGAATCCTAGCGCAATCTAGGACGACAAATATGATTCTAGCCAACTGTACAGTCAAGAGATGTCAACGCCTGGGGAAAACGTAGCATGCTGTTCCCCACGACCAATGAAGTTGCTGAAAATATTCCGCAATTCGCGGCGCTATGATTGTACCGTACTCGTTTCGGAGCCTGAACCGAGACATAGCAATTGCGCCCAACTGGTGATTACTGATCTGCACACTTATTATCTGTAAAAACCATTTCGTAACACCCTTGGGTGTAATTTTTTCAATGGGTGTAAAAATAACACCCATCAAACGTATGGTATTTATAAGTACACCCTAGGGTGCCTTATACGGGGGATTATGGTACACGTCTGGGTGTATGGGTGTGGTACAGGCCCACTTACACGTCTGGGTGTATGGGTGTGGTACAGACCCACTTACTTACACGTATGGGTGTATGGGCGTGCTACAGGTAACTGCAAACCCACCTAATGGCTTCATGAGCCTCCTGGGCGTTCTTAGCTTTGGCAGAGAACACGCGGGGAAACAGCGGCACCACCGTACTTAGGGTTGAGCAAACTACCCGCCCGGGTCGGGTACCCGGTACCCGGACCCGCTTTTAGGGCGGGTCGGGTATCGGAAATCCTGAAAATTACCCGCCGGGTCGGGTCCGGGTTACCCGGGCCGGGTATCAATACCCGCTACCCGGAATGCTACCCGACGTGTCGGGTAACGGGTACCCGACCCGGTCGGGTAAAAAATTACCCGAGGTCGGGTATTCCACCTAGACATGGGCGTAAGTCGCGCTGTGTTTTAGGTTTTGCGGCAAAACAGTTTTGGAGGTGAGGGGGGACGAGTGGAGCCCTACCTAGCCTAGCCCTACCTAGCCTAGCCCAACTTTAGGATGTCCACTAGTAGGTGGCGGGTAAAATTACCCGCTTTTCAGGGGGTCCGGGTCGGGTATACCCGGACCCGCCAGACGGGTATTATAATACCCGCCTAAAAAAACCGGGTCCGGGTAAGGGTCCTGGGCATATTACCCGACCCGGACCCGACCCGAAATTACCCGACCCGAGGTCGGGTATGGCAAAACCGGGTCGGGTCGGGTCATTACCCGGTTTTGCTCATGCCTAACCGTACTGCCCACACGTGGAGTAGGGTGCGCTAATGGGGGGACTTTTGAGGCGACTCAAAAGTCACACCGTACTGCCCACACGTGGAGTAGGGTGCGCTAATGGGGGGACTTTTGAGGCGACTCAAAAGTCACACCGTACTGCCCACACGTGGAGTAGGGTGCGCTAATGGGGGGACTTTTGAGGCGACTCAAAAGTCACACCGTACTGCCCACACGTGGAGTAGGGTGCGCTAATGGGGGGACTTTTGAGGCGACTCAAAAGTCACACCGTACTGCCCACACGTGGAGTAGGGTGCGCTAATGGGGGGACTTTTGAGGCGACTCAAAAGTCACACCGTACTGCCCACACGTGGAGTAGGGTGCGCTAATGGGGGACTTTTGAGGCGACTCAAAAGTCACACCGTACTGCCCACACGTGGAGTAGGGTGCGCTAATGGGGGGACTTTTGAGGCGACTCAAAAGTCACACCGTACTGCCCACACGTGGAGTAGGGTGCGCTAATGGGGGGACTTTTGAGGCGACTCAAAAGTCACACCGTACTGCCCACACGTGGAGTAGGGTGCGCTAATGGGGGGACTTTTGAGGCGACTCAAAAGTCACACCGTACTGCCCACACGTGGAGTAGGGTGCGCTAATGGGGGACTTTTGAGGCGACTCAAAAGTCACACCGTACTGCCCACACGTGGAGTAGGGTGCGCTAATGGGGGGACTTTTGAGGCGACTCAAAAGTCACACCGTACTGCCCACACGTGGAGTAGGGTGCGCTAATGGGGGGACTTTTGAGGCGACTCAAAAGTCACACCGTACTGCCCACACGTGGAGTAGGGTGCGCTAATGGGGGGACTTTTGAGGCGACTCAAAAGTCACACCGTACTGCCCACACGTGGAGTAGGGTGCGCTAATGGCATTATGGTAACTGCAAACCCACCTGGCAGCAGGTGCGGGTGGGTGGGTCGGGTAGCCTCGTGCGCCTCCTGGGCGATCCTGGCTTTGCCAGAGAACACGTGGGGACGCGCCACTCCACCCTACCCCACTCCACTTGCCGACGCCCGACCCCCCTATACCTGCTGTGTACTGCGCATCTCCACCCACCTGGCAGCAGGTGCGGGTGGGTGGGTCGGATGGCCTCGTGCGCCTCCTGGGCATTCCTAGCTTTGCCAGAGAAGACGCGGGCAAACGGCGACACCATCTTGCTATTATACCTGCATGGGATTACAAGGTTTGGAAAAGATGGTTTGGGGATAGGTTTGGAAGAAGGTCCGGGAGGTGCTGCGAGACACCCAGGAGACACCTCTCCTGTAGCAAGCAAGGAGCCTTGAGGTGATTTGAATGAACTCACCTCTCCTGCCTTGAGGTGATTTGAATGAACTCACCTCTCCTGCCTTGAGGTGATTTGAATGAACTCACCTCTCCTGCCTTGAGGTGATTTGAATGAACTCACCTCTCCTGCCTTGAGGTGATTTGAATGAACTCACCTCTCCTGCCTTGAGGTGATTTGAATGAACTCACCTCTCCTGCCTTGAGGTGATTTGAATGAACTCACCTCCACCAGAGACGTCTCAAGAATACACCCAAACCCCAGGGAACCCAGACCCGGGGAACCGTGAGATGATCCCACCTCTCCTGCAGCAGGGATCGCATTCACACTGTCGGTGCGCATGTATGTGATCAGCGCAGCCACCATGCCCCCACAAGTAGGAGATACCTTGAGGCATGTCAGGAGCTGAGCGCGGCACTCACCTCTCCTGCAGCAGGGATCGCAGAGAGGCCACTGCAGCTTGGGACACATTCACGCTGTCGGTGCGCATGTATGTGATCAGCCCAGCCACCATCCCCCCACCACCAGCACCCCTCCAGTCACCATCCCCCCACGAGCAGAGATACTAGATACCCTGCACTGTGATTCGATCTGAACCCACCTCTCCTGTAGCAAGGAGCGCAGCGAGGCCACTGCAGCAGCGGACACATTCACGCTGTCGGTGCGCATGTATGTGATCAGCCCAGTCACCATCCCCCCACCAGCTCCCCTCCCTCCGCTCTTCCCTCCTCCCTCTGTCCCTACCGCCCCTTTAGCCGCCTGCTTTCTGAGCGCCTTGGAAGCCTCAGGGCCCAGCGCCACCCCTTCGTACAGCCGTTGAGCGACCTGGAATGGGGGGGGGGATGTGTTGTGTGAGGGTGTGCATGTGGGAGTGAGTGAGAGAGACAGAGAAGCACTGCTTTTGCAGGACCCTAGAAGCCTCAGGGCCCAGCGCTACTCCTTTGTACTCCAGCACCCTTAGCTGGAAGCCAGCACACTTAGCTGGGCGCCAGCCGCCCAAGACGGCTCTTGTTGGAGTTGGGGACTTGGAGTTGGGGACTTGGATCTTCACTCCATTGGCGCACTCCCTGCCACTAGCCACAATTCCACACACTCACCGCCATGGGTAATGAGTCGATTTTTTAGTCGACTCATTACACACTCACCGCCATGGTTGGCATGGAAGACGCCTCTTGTTGGAGAGATGAAGTGGTGAGGGGGGGAGAGGGAGACCTCCGAGTCTGCGACCGATGCACCTCTGCCACCTGCAGCGCGCTCCCTAGGGGTGACTCAGGGGCGAGTCAGGGGCGAGTCAGGGTTGACTCAGGGTTGACTCAGGGTTGACTCAGGGTTGACTCAGGGGTGACTCAGGGTTGACTCAGGCCCAAGACACTCACTCACTGCCATGCTTCTGCTGGGGCTGAAACCCAGTTTCGATTTCAAAGATTCCAAAGACTTACTGCCATGGTCCGGCTAGGGCTGAAACCGAGTTTCGAAGACGCCTCTTGTTGCAGCGATGAAGTGGTGAAGGGCGGAGAGGGGGACCTCCTGGTCTGCGACCGATGCACCTCTGCCACCTGCAGCTCACTCCCCTCCACCAGCACTGCCGCTGCTAGCGCCCTCTCTCCATCCCTTATCCCCCCCTCTCCTCCTCCTGCTGCTTTCCCATCTGATTCTTCTCTTCCCCCCTTTCCTCCTCCTCTCCCTCTTCCTGATTCTTTCCCCCCTCCCCCCCCTCCCCCTCCTCCCCCTGCTCCCACCGGCTCCCCAAACAGGTGCGTAAGCCTAGCTGGGAAAGCCATGGGCGAATCCACCTCCCCAACTACTCCTCCCCCTGCTCCTACTGCTCCTGTTGCTTCCGCACCTGCTGCTGCTACCCCATGCACTGCCGTCTCTCCTCCTTCCAAGCTCCCAATAAGCCCCCTCTTAGTGCGACAAGCCTGCACCATCGCACTAACCGTCCAGTACTCCTGCGCATTAAACCCCGCCACCTCCCCCTCCCTCTCACACACAAACCTTAAAGCCACCGACTGAACTCTCCCTGCCGATCGACACCCGGGGAGCTTTCTCCAGAGCACAGGGGAGAGATTAAAGCCCATGAGAAAATCTAGCACGCGTCGGGCAAAGTAGGCGTCGACTAGAGGTTGGGAGAGGAGGCGGGGGTTGGCTAGAGCAGTGAGGACGGCTGAAGGGGTGATCTCGTGGAAGGTGGCTCGGTGGATCGTGAGATCGCAGCCGTTGGATCCGGCGGATGGGAGGAGCCACTGATCGTCGGATGGAGAGGGGGGTTGGGATGATGGTGATGCTGCTGCTGCTGTTGCTGATGGTGATGATGCTGATGCTGGTGTTAGAGGTGATGATGATGATAACGATGATTGTGGGCGTTTGAAATCCTTCAGCTCCTTCCTCACCTCCCCCAGTAGTTCCTCCCCCTCCAGCCACCCGTGCTCCCCCTCCTTCTCAACATGCCCTCCCTCATGCTCCCCAACTTGCTGCAGCAACCCCTCTCCACCCCCCTCAACCGCACCACCACCACTACCAACACCTGCAAATCCCTCTGCTTCGGGGCTCGCAAGGCTCGGCTCGGGAACTCCACTGGAGAAGATATCGGCTTCGCCCTCCTCCCCTTCTGCATCTCGTATAGCCGCTGCTGCCTCTCCTCCCTCCCTCGCTGCCTGCTCTGCCTCTGCTGCCAATTGCTCCTCATGCCACACTGCCTGCGGGGTAATGAGGTGGGGGGTAAATGTTTATTCGTGATTTACAGGGCGATGAAATATCAGTTTCTGCTCTGCCTCGGCTGCCAATTGCTCCTCATGCAGCACTGCCTGTGGGGGTAATGAAGAAGGGGGAGGAATGGTTTATCAGATATTAGAGGGGTGATGGCTGATCGATTTCTCCACTGCCTCTGCTGCCAATTGCTGCTTACGCAACACCGCCTGTAGGTGCAATGGGGAAAGGAGATTAAAAAAGAAAACAACATGTCGGTTCTTGTGCCTCTGCTACCTGTTGCTGTTGCTGCTGCAGCCTTATTCCACCAGACCAAACCACGCAGCACCTTCTGTCACAAGGAACAGTAAAAGCTCTTCTCCCACCTTTGAGACGACCCAAAAGCAGACTCATTACACGCGGTTTTTTTTGCAGTCGACTCAAAAACAGACTCATTACCCGCGGTCCCCCTCACCCGTTGCATCATCTTTTCTCGCCGCTCCTCCTTCTCCCTCTGCTGCCGCCCCTCACAACAACCCCTTTGCCTTTTAGGGAAAACCCGCAGCAACCCCTCCCTTCCCCCTCCCCCCCTCTTTCCCCACCTTGCCCTCACCCGCCCCCTCCCCCTCACCTCCTTTGAGCAGCAGCAACAGCACGCTCCCCCTCACCTCCTTTGAGCAGCAGCAACAGCACCCTCCCCCTCACCTCCTTTGAGCAGCAGCAACAGCACCCTCCCCCTCACCTCCTTTCAGGAGCAACAACAGCACCCTCCCCCTCACCTGTTGCGCCATCTTTTCCCTCCGCTCCTCCTTTTCCCTCTGCTGCGCCTCTGCTCTCCTCCTTGCAGCAGCAGCGCCCTTGAGCAGCTGGTACACATGCCATGCTATCGCCTCCCCCTCCCTGTCTGCATCAGTTGCCAACACAACGCCTTGAGATCTGAGGGGTAAACGAAGGAGGGTGGGAAAAGAGCTGTTTCGTTTAGAATCCTAGAAAACCAACCGATTTTTATATTATTTATCTACTTTTATTCTTTTAATTTGAAACACTATTCTCAACACCCTGGTTTCTGAGGGTAAACGAGGGATAGTGGGAGAAAGGCCAGCATCAGGGGAGACCGCATGCACTCTGTTGGACACGTCTCTCACATGACAACAATGCGTTGGCCTTCGTTGACCATGCGTTGCCAGAATGTGTTGACCTGCATTGACTTAGCACCTGAGCTCTCACCTGACCGCAGCGAGAGCCATGATCCCAAAGTGCACTACTGCTGTTCAGCCAGGGGTCACACGGCTCACCTGACCGCAACCAGAGCAATGGCCCTAATGTGAGGCACTTCCTGGGACAGGATTCGCCAGTCGATGGCGAAGTCCGCATCGAACGAGACGCATCGACCTTGTTGGGCACATGCCACTGCTGTCCAGACAGGGTTCAGGGTTTTAAGGTTTGGGGCCTTAAGGATTGGGGTCTTCGGGTTTGGGGTCTTGAAGTTTGGGGTCTTAAGGTTTGGGGTCTTAAGGGTTGGGGCCTTAAGGTTTGGGGCCATAAGGTTTGGGGTCTTCGGGTTTGGGGTTTTGGGCCACACCGATTCACCTGAATGCAGCCAGGGCGATGGCCCTAAAGTGTGGCACCGCCTGGGGCAGGATTCGCCAGTCGATGGCGAAGTCAGCGTCGTGCGAGATGGCATCGGCCTTGTTGGGTGCGTGCCACTGCTGCTCAGTCAGAATTCAGGGTTTAGGGTTTAGGGTTTGGGGTTTGAAGTTAGGGGTTTTGGGGTTTTGGGCCACACGGACTCGCCCGAATGCAGCCATGGCGATGGCCCTAAAGTGTGGCACCGCCTGGGGCAGGATTCGCCAGTCAATGGTGAAGTCAGCATCAAGCGAGATGCATCGACCTTGTTGGGCGCGTGCCACTGCTGTCCAGAGTCCAGACAGGGTTCAGGGTTGAAGGTTTGGGGTCTTAAGGTTTGGGTTCTTAAGGTTTGGGGTCTTAAGGTTTGGGGTCTTCAAGTTTGGGGTCTACAAGTTTGGGGTCTTAAGGTTTGGGGTCTTAAGGTTTGGGGCCTTAAGGTTTGGGGCCTTAAGGTTTGGGGCCATAAGGTTTGGGGTCTTCGGGTTTGGGGTTTTGGGCCACACCGATTCACCTGAATGCAGCCAGGGCGATGGCCCTAAAGTATGGCACCGCCTGGGGCAGGATTCGCCAGTCAATGGCGAAGTCAGCGTCGGGCGAGACAGCATGGACCTTGTTGGGCACGTCTCGCACGTGACCGTGCGTCGCCAGCACCGAGAACTCTCTTTTTCTCTTCCGCAATCCTGCTCCTCCTCCTCCTCCTGCTGCTGCTGCTGCTGCTGCTGCAAGGCTGGAGAAGGGTTCGGAATCAGGGGCGTGTTGGAGGTAACCCTGAATTGTGCGGGCTTTAGAGGGGGATTCCACCACCACTAGCCATCGCTCCACTGCTGCTGGTTGTGCTGCTGCTCCTGCATCTGCTGCTGCTCCTGCTGCTGCTGCTGCAGGTTGTGCTGCTTTTGCTGCTGATTCTGCTACTGCTGCTGCTTCTCCTGCTGCCCCTGCTGCAGCAGCGTCCGCTGCATTTGCTGTTGCCCTCTTACTCGCTGTCTTCCGCCTCGTCCTCTTCACTTTCCCCACTCCCAAATCCTCAACTAACTCGGGTGGTTCTGCTACTGCTACTTCTCCTACTTCTCCTGCTGCTGCTGTCGCTCCTGCTTCTGCTGCTTCTCCTGGTGCAACAGCCTCCCCTGCACCTGCAGTTCCCCCCTTACTCCCTGCCTTCCGCCTCGTCCTCTTCACTCTCCCCACTCCCAACTCCTCCCCGACTTCTGGTGGTTCTGCTACTGCTACTTCTCCCCCTCCCTCTGCTGCTCCTAGTGTTGCAGCCTCCGCTGCACCTGCCGTTTCCCTCTTACTTACTGCCTTCCTCCTCGTCCTCTTCACCTTTCCCACTCCCAAGCTCTCCTCCCCTCCCACACCCATACCTTTCGCCCCATCATCTCCCTCGCGCTTCTGCGCCTCCTCCCCGGTCTCTCCCCCTTCCTCTGCCCGAACCTGCTTCTGTTGAGCCGCACCTGCTGACTCAGCATTGGCTACTGACTCAGCACCCGTCGAAGCTGGCTCAGCAGCACCGATTGCTGACTCAGCAGCACCGGTTGCTGAGCACAGGTGCCTTGTGCTGCCTAGCACCCTGGTCAGACCGCCGCATTGGTGCTTCTCGAGCAGAAGAGGCGATTTGCTAGGCGCCTCAAAGGTGCTGCCTGCCCGAGTCAAAACCGTCCTGACGCTGCACTGCGGCTTCTCGAGCAGAAGTGGCGATTTTTTAGGCCCCTCAAAAATGCTGCCTACCCAAGTAGTCAAAACGCTGCATTGCGGATCTAGAGCTACCCTCCCCGCTGCAACGCGCTCACACAAAAGAGGCCCCCTGAGGGATAGGCGCACAGGCGTATCTGGGGCTGAACGTATCTGGTCATTATAACGGGGCGTACAGACGTGATTGCAGCGGGCGGTCAAGAGGGGGTGCTTGTATCGAATGGTAGGAAATGCCTGACTGCTGTGTGACAATGGCGCTTGGTTGAGGGGAGAGCTGCCATGTCTGAAGCGGGCGGTCAAGGAGGGGTGCTTGTATCGAATGGTCGGACTGCTGTGTGCCGATAGCGCTTGGGTGAGGAACGAACTGCCAGGTCTGAAGCGGTCGCTGCGACTGTTACCGACGTTATTAATGCTGGCACCGCTACTTCTGCTACTACCGCTACTACCGCTACTAATGCTCACGCTTCCGCTGCTGCTACTACTACTCCGTGCGGAACCGCCACTGAAGCTACTACTAATGCTCACGCTGCCGCTGCTACTACTACTCCGCGCCGCGCCGCTACTGACGTTCCTACTAATGCTGACGCCGGCGCTGCTGCTACTACTCCGCACGGCGGCACCTGCGCCGGTATCCCAGATAAGCATTAGCGCGCCTCTGAATCCGCCTCTTCGGATTAACGAACCGCTTCCGATTAGCGACTGATTCGCGCGCCTCAGGCACGGGGAAAGAGCAGGCATCCCCCGCCTCCACGTGGATCCACCCCTCTTCCACGCGGATCTACTCCCCTTCCACGTGTATCTGTTCCGCTTCCACGTGTACCTGTTCTGCTTCCACGTGGATCATGAAACTCTAGTCTTCTGGACACAGCTGAAGGGGTGTATGGAGTGATCGCGCCGCGACGTCCGCGGATGGGCCGTCACAAAGTGGCACAGTGAGGCGGCTTACGGTTCCGTAATGATACTCGGCGGTACGCTTCGGTGAGAAGGCGTAAAAAAGGGACAGGCTTCCCGCCGCACTCTCTCTATAGTAAACCCCCTTAGTGCGCCGGATCCTGCGGAAGGGAAGGCAATCCGGGAGTCAGTGAAATGGGCATGGTCGATGAAGCAACAGGATAGGCTAAACGGAGATTCTCTAAACGCTCTTTTTGGCAGCCTCAGCAAGGCTTATAGGCTTTCTGTACTAGCTGTTACCAGATACAATCATGCTAAACCCCATTTTATGTGCGAGAGATCGTCCGCCAACCCATCTCCTAAGACTCGTTTTACAGGTGGAGACATTGCTATAAATTACACGAGAAGCAGAAAATGTCAAATGGTTTTTTTAACTCTAAAATCAACCCTTTTATATCAAAAAGAGGGCTATTAGGCAAGTCTGGATTTGAGCATCCTAAGCTGTACCTGATTGCGTGAGTACGTGCAACTCATAAAACGAACGAATTTATAAACGGTATTCTAGCATTATGTGAATGGCCCACCTGGTTTCAGTCGGACCACCACCGCAGGTTCGGATTAGTGACCAATCAGGAATGTTGCCGCCATTTTTAGGGTGTGCTCTGACTCTTCCGAGCCTATTCCACAACCAGTTAGAACACGAGCAGCGGGCCGCCCTATCTTCATACATAGACCCAACTTAGGTCTTTGCCACCTGGTCTGGTGTGAGCCAACAATGAAGGCACAAGCCTCTGGCTCGGTGATCTGGCATATTGTGACGAACCTAAAACCGTCGCGCTGACAAAAACCAGGCGCGAAATGGCTCCGCGCCAGAGCGTCTGCTCTGCACTCTCCAGATGTACAGCAAGTACATCCTCTCATATTGCATTATGGGTGTGTACACAAATAATGACGCGTCTCAAGAGTTCATGCTACTTACTAACCCCACCGGACCGTAGAATAATTTAATCGAACGCTTTAAAAGGCTAAAAAACGTACTCAACCATGTTAAAACAAACTCTTTTGACGCCCTGATGAATCCTCACTCGTCCTCTCCCCAACCAACACACACAACCATTCGCCGTGAGTCGCGGGGCGCCGCAAATTGGTTTCTTGCGCCGCGATACAACTGATGTGGAAAGTGCAGGGAAATGTGTACACTTTTTTGCCTATTTATTTTTATTCTTTTTGCACGCTTTTAGTCTGTAATCGAGGAGTAATAAATCACGGGCTAACGGGATCTTGATTGGAAAACCCACAGTAAACACTGACACCTGGTTACACAATCTCGCTCATACAAGAGATTAATTGCCTGCACGACGTCCCAGCCCTGAAACTCGCAATTGTCGTAATTTGACTTGGCTGTTCGCTATCGTTCAGACTGCAGCCAATCAGGTTCAGTGTCAACGCGAGTCATGCTGAGAACTGGGCTGCAACTGGGCTGTTCCGGGTGTAACAATAGACGAGGACAGGTGTATTTTCTAAGCCAGCCGTGCGCCGAAACCCCACAACCTACCACCACCGACAATTCATGTCACCATTACCACCCAACCGAATCCTCCCAAACCCACTCTGAAAAAGCCTAACCCAGCCGAACCAGTCTACACTACTCCCTCAACTCACCAACCACACGCCAACTCAATAATTCACTTCTCCTTTCCCCTCGCTACGGGGCACGCTGATCACTGGTAGCAGAAATAATTATCTTTCATCCGCCAGGAATTCGAGCAAGAAAGAGGTGCACGGCCTTGCAGGCGACCCGAGCGCGAGACAAGTATAGTTGCAGCTGACGCCAGTTGCGGGGGCCTTCGGTTGCCCGGCCGCGACAACCGCTACACCCGTAGGTGATCAGACGGCTGAGAATCGCGATGGGGGTGATGCGATGGAGTTTAGCGGAACCAATAAGCCGGCCTTCTGGCCTTGGGCGAGAGGATCTCACAAGTCTTCCCGAGTCGGCTCCTTTGCGGTTCCTTGCACGCGTGGCTATCTCCAGAGAGGAGAGAAGCCCGCTCATATCTTCTTCCTACATAGCCATCTCCCATTCCTGCCTATTCGTGTGCAGCTGTATTTTCCAGTCGACTCAAACGCAACTGTCCGAAAAGCGTGCGTTTCTCTATCGCAACCCTCCTGAAATCCACCAGCGCTTCCTTCACAGCCCCCATTCTCCTCAGATCTCGCTCATCTGCCTTCCGTTCTTCCGAGTCGGCTCTCGTCGGGCTCTGTCCGGCCAGCCTCGGCTTCCAACTGCTCCGATCGCACCTCGTCACGCACTTGTTTCTCTTTCGCGACTGTCTCGCGTGATTCCAGTGAGCGCATTTTTGAGGCGCCTCAAAAATAGTGTCCGGAGATCTGCTCCGATCGCACCTCTTCACGCACTTGTTTCTCTTTCGCGACTGTCTCGCGTGAGCGTTGCGCCTTGCCGCAACCCGTGATTGAACAATCTTGATTGGATTCCGAGCTTGACAAAGACTACTTGTCGACCTTATTCGTTCCCTCATCGCACCTTGCAAAGCCTACCTGTCTCCACCGTGAGCGTTGCGCTTCGTTTGCAGCCTCCGCCCGTCGATCTTATTCGTTACCTCATCGCCACTGGTTACTCTGATTTCTTCGGAGCGCTGTAACACATTCTGGAGCAATCTTGTAACGCGGATTCGCAGCACAGCAGATTCGAATCCCTTGGGAGCTCCATGGAGCAATTTAAATCTGCCGAAAGGGAGTACAGTCAACTCAAGCAAGCTAAGGAATTATTTGTGGGCGGGACGGTCGACGGTCCTAATCAGCGACCAGTTGCGTGGCGGACCAGTCGCATTGCGAACAACGATCGTCACCAACATCCTTCGCGAATTCAACAAGTTGGTGGTAACACTCGCGACTCAACCTTGCCCCCGCAAGGACAGCTTCCGCTGAAGCGTCGCCCGCCGCTTCTGCTGCCGCTCGCCAACGCTGCGGAAGGCGTCGTCTCGCCGGTTTTCCCCTCCCCTCCTCCGATCCCTGCGCCTGATGCCTCGCTGGTTACCGGGCTGACGGGGCAAGGTTGCGCCCTCGCCCGCGCGCGCACACTTGCGGGAGGCGCGGCCGCGGTGGGCGGAGTGGCAGTGGCGGTTGCGGCTGGCGCGGTGAGCGCCCACCTTGAAGACGCGGACGGCTTGGCGGTGGGGTACTGGGGAGACAGGCAGAAGCGGAGGCGGTTGTTCCCCCCGGCCGCGGAAGAGGCGGGAACCGTGGCGGAGGTGCAGAACGCTTCTGGTGGCGGTCTGAGGTGGCGGAAACGACGGCTGGGAGAGGGGGAAGGGGGGGAGGGGCGCGCGGGAGAGGGGGAATCGGGAGGTGCGGGGGAGGCGGATGGCACTGGCGCTAGAGCCAAGTGGCGGAGAGTCGGGGAAGGGGAGGGTGAGTGGGAGGAGGAGGATAAGGAAGGGGAGACGGACGATGAGGGAGAGGAGGATGACGAAGGCGAGGGGGAGGTGGATGAAGGGGATTGGGAGGAGGGAGATGATGAGGCAGAGGAGGATGAGGAGGGAGGAGAAGAGCAAGGGAGAGGAGTGCAGAAGGAAGGGTGTACAGTGCGTAAGGCGTGTGAGCATCTAAGAGATGGTGTGAGAAAGGGGAGTTCTGATAGGCAGGGGCAAGAGCAGCGCAGGGCGAATCAGCAGGATGAGTTTTGTGAGCTTGATGACGATGAAGATGATTACACGGAGGACGAGGAAGATGCCTATGACGAGGATGAGGATGGTGATGACTGCAGCGACAGTGACTGTACTGAGAGCTGGTGGGAGGAGGCTGAGAGTGATGTGGAGGGAGGGGAGGAGGCAAATAGTAGATTGTCGGAGGAGAGACTGGTGGATGGGTTGAGGGAGAGTTTTCAGAAGTTGGCGACGGAGTGTAGAGTGGCCAGGCGAAATTATGATAAGCTGAGATCGGCTTGTGAGCAGCTTCAACAACAGAACAACCTGTTCCGATCCAAGGTGAGGCGGCGTGAAAGAGCGTGCTTTTGGTTTGGATGCATGTCGAATTTGTGCATGAAAGGATGGTTACGTTTTATAGATTCCTAACGTTTGGACTAGCTTTTGTTGCTGCAGATCGAAACGCTTCAAGTACTTCGTGGTGGAATTCCGCACTGCCGCACGCTTCAAGTGCTTCGTGGTTGAGCAACTGTGATTACTAACACAGAACGTAGAGATTTTGAATCAACAAAAAGTTATCAGCATAATTTCAAAGCATAGCAATCAGAGGCTAGCTAATAGCGCTTATTATACTAACTTCGAACAGTCTCTATGCTGGAGATGGATGGTTGAATAAATACAACACGATGTGTCATGGCATCCATGACTTCAGCGTGGTTGTCCTAAATTTTGTGTCACCTCACTAATGGCAGATTCCTTTAAAACCTGAAGAAGCGGTGTCTGCAAACGGAGATGAACGAGGCGGGTAACCAGGTCCGGTTCGCCAGCCGCCTGTGCTGTGTTCAGGCATCCCATTCAGCACGGCGAGTTCGCGAAGCTGAGCGCGCTTCAACAAGTCGTACGAGTCGTCCTGAAGTGGGGGAAGATGAGTTCACGAGACGGTGGGATATTTGTAACCGTATCGAGCGAAACAGCTCTCGCGGGTGAGCTATGTGAAAACACGCCATGCGAACAAAAGGAGACTTGCGAACTGAGGGAAATCGCCCTGCGACAATGATCGAGAGCAGAACATGTTAGCGAACTGCGAAGGATATCGCCCCTGAGTGACATACTAGATAAACCCCTTTCCACACTAGATTCTAGGTGGCAGGAAGCTGGATTCCCGAACCAGATCCATACATACATCACACAAAAAAATGGGGCAAATTTCCACCCAACATGCGCTTCGAATTTCCAACTTCGGACAAATGGCTTACACTAATCTACGTAGCACTGGTTTGAGCAGCTCGTGCACGATCGTGCACGATCGCGCACGCCTCTCCGAGTCCACGATCTCGGGACGGACGGGCGGCGAGGGTCTAGGACTCTAGGTGTACGCCGCTGGGAACCAACAGGATTAATCTAAATAGTACGTACCACTGGTTTGAGCAGCTCGTGCAACGCCTCTGCGTGGCTACCTAGGGTTGGTGGAGTACCCAGCGTCCGGAGATTCGCACTAGGTTCGAAATCTACGTACTACAGGTTCGCACTGGTTCGTATTTCACGGACCACCGGTTTGAGCAGCTCATGCACGATCTCGCACGCCTCGCCCAGCTGCGAGTCCACGATAGACGGACGGGCACCGAGGGTCAACAGTGTTACAATACAGGTTCACTATAATATAGTATTCGATTGAATAGTACGTACCACTGGTTTGAGCAGCTCGTGCACGATCTCGCACGCCTCGCCCAGCTGCGAGTCCACGATATCCGCCGGCAATTCCGCGACGATGATGACGTGGAGCGGGTCGAAGAGGTGCTCGTAGCCCGGCTTGCCACGTAGACGCTCTTCCTGCGTGTCGTGTGTGTGTGTTGGGGGGGGGAGGGGGGTTTGTCGGTAGACATAGTTTTAGCACGTGAAAGCCTCCAAACGAGCTGCAGGCTAGACGCCGCTTAACGAGCAGCAGTCTACTCACCCCACAACCTCACTCGTTCCTGGTTCCCATCACGCCCTTCTCACGCCCTTCTCACGCCCTTCCTCACCCCCTTTCTCACCCTTATCACGCCCTTTCATGCCCCTATCCTCCCCTTACGTACCCTGCACGGGTCTTTGATGGATCCGCGCCCGCGGATCAGCATCACTCTGCTTCCCGTTTGCGCCTCCACGCGGTTTTGTTTCATTGAGGCGCAAAATGCATCATGATTCATGCGCCCCCAGATTCACCCTTTCCATGTACTAAACGTACGTACCCTGCACGGGTCTTTGATAGATCCGCGTCCGCGGATCAGCACTCGGCAGCCGGTTTGCGCCTCCACGCGCTTGAGGGAGTTCCCCCGCGGGCCCAGCAGGCGCCCCACGAAGTTGTACGCGGGGAAGCGCTCCACGGGGACGTTCACCCGCTGCATCTTCTTCACTATCGGCGCGCCCATCCCGCCGCCGCCCATTCCGCCGCCCATTCCGCCGCCCATTCCGCCCCCCATTCCGCCCCCCATTCCGCCCCCAATGCCCCTCCGCCTCCCGCGCCCATTCCGCCACCCATTCCGCCCCCTGTTCTCCCTGCGCCTCCCGCTCCCATTCCGCCCCCCATTCCTCCCCCCATTCCCCCTGCGCCTCCGCCGGGTGCTGGCGGAGGGGCCCAGCCGGGGAGTGGCGGAAGTGGCTGACTGATTGGCGGAGGCGGCGGAGGCGGCGGATGCATCACCAGCGGGGAAAACGATGGCTGCGAAGAGTACGGGAGGGGGAATAGAAGGGGAGGGAAGAGCAGGGGGGAGGGGGGAGAGGGGGAGGGGGTGAGGGAACGAGGTGGGAGGAGGTGGAGTAAACATTTATGGGCGTTGGGCGGAACTATTCTCGTTTTAGCTGTGAGACGAGAATAGGGGGCATATGCAGGTAACCTGGTTTGGCCTCATCGCATACCTCAATCTCGTTAGGGAGTGGCGACCACGTGCCCCCATCGAAAGGCGAGGGGCCAGGCGAAAGGTTGTGCTGTGACTTTGGCGAAGTGAGCTGGTCGGGTAACAGCTGCTCGGCGTTGGATAGGCTGTCGTTGTCCGTGCAGGACGACGAGCAGTTGAGCGACGTCAGCCGCGCGATTTCTGCGATAAGCATGCAAAACAAACCACAAAAGAGTATTTGTGCACCTAACACAGAAACAACTTGACGCCAATCAACCTTTACAATATGGGATGAAAAAAAGAAAAAAAAAAAAAGGAATCATCGCAAGATTTGTGGTGTGTGCAGAAATGCTGCCACATTAGAACTGACACGCAGTGAATCGCTGCTTGCCAGACGCCCTACGCTCCTCCAGGAGACGAGAGCAGTGGGAAAGGATGCTTTTGGGTCGACTCAAAAGCAATCACTGCTTGTCAGACGCATACCTTCCTCCAGGAGACGCGAGCAGTGCGGCAGAACGAGCTTGAACGGGGTGAGTTTCTTGCGCTCGGCGATTAAATCCGCCAGTAAGCTGCCAAACACCACCAGGATTTAGGAGGAAGGTAAGCGTCAATGATTGAGTGAGAAGCGTGTTAAGGAACTGAGGGATGTGACTTTTATTAGTCTTGCTTCGGGAGTTCCAAGGGATAGCAGGCGGCAACCGGTGAGGGTGATGAGAGAGACAAGTACTAATACTCTGAATCTCGCTTACAATTCGCCGTCGCTGTTGGACGATGCGAGTCTCGCTAGCCCGGGCGACGACGGCGAGGATCCGAAGTTAGGGGAGAACCAGCCGTTCATCTTGACCGTCGGTGTCACGCCGCGAGTGTCACAACGCGCGTTAGAAAGTATGAATCAGAGCCAAGTATTCGAGAAAACGACTGGAAGCAACCTCTGCTGCGTGCTCGAGAGACGCCGCAGCTTTCTAAAAGACGTAAGTATTCAGGGGGATGGTAACGGGAGTAGCAAGCCTATGGCATATACGCCCACCAACGCAACTACTACTGCTGCTACTGGTCGTAGTGGTGGCCTCTCAGTGAGTGAGAAACCGAGTCTTGAAGTTGGATGCTACCCAATCCAAGCCTAGCTTGTGCCAGCTTACTAGCGGAGGACGTTTGTCTGACAAATAGGTTTTGAAACTAGCAGGATTTGAAATTAGCCCCTCGAAGAGATGCCAGACGTCGTTCACACACAGGTGGCGACTGGGAGAGTGGAATTGATTGTATGCATGGCGAAGGCGACATGCGACGCTTATGTATGGCGGTGGTCCAGTGGGAAAAATGTGCGACGATAAACGGCACGATGTGGTCGTCGCATTGCGCGGTTCGAATAAGACTCGCTGTGCGACCGTGTGCGACAGCTAGGCTACTGTCGCTAGAGCCACCTGCGACAGGAACTCACATCATGGGTCCCCATGGAAGCTCTATCGTGCTTTCAAATGTGGCCTGCCGCCGGGTCGGGCCTATGCATTCCGGGGGACGAGGAAGCAATCGCAGTTGTGAAATGCCATTCGCGTCGCAGCCGGCCCCGGCGCGAGTGCACGAGCCTACGCTGGCCGCAGTTCTCTCTACCCGCAGTCACTGCAGTCGACCTGACGATGAACCCAGAGTCGAGATAAGAGGCGATCGTGGAATTAAAACCATGACCGCTTTGGGGAATTCCGAGGAACCATGCGAGAGAGTGCATGGTCTTGCATGGCAGAGTCACACACATGTGAGGACGCGCTTTGGGGAGGTCTCTCTGGGTTCCAGCTGAGCTTATGCATGGGGCCATCCTAGTCGACGGATGAGGTTTTGGTTGAAGGGGCAAGGGTGAGGAGGATCCAGGGTGGTGGCATTGCATGGCATGAGTAGGAAATCCACTTCGAATTCGCCCCTCGCATTTGCCCGTCGCATTTCTCCCTCCCATTCACCCCTCTAACATGAGAGTGGTAGAGCGAGCATACACTCTCACATGCTTCTGCTTCCCGAGGCGCATTCACTCTCTTACCCCCGTATGACAGTCGCGTCACGCGTGCGAGCCGAGCCGCAGATTTCCTCCATGTCATACCGCGTCAACTTCGCTCTCTCCGAAACCCCATTCATTCGCAAATGCGATTTGCGGCCTGTCAAGCTCGGGCAGCTTCTGACGACATATGGGCTCAAGAAGGGAAAGCGGCAAAGCTTTCCCGCTTGGTGGGGTGAAGGAAGATTTCAAGCCGCAAAAAAAATTGCTCGGCACGGGATTCCCGTGAAGAATGCAAAGTTTTCACCTCTCATTTGTGGCCAGCATTCACTTGTCATCATTTCACTGCAGGAAACCAGGGGAAATCTTATCGAGAATCGGGTCAGAATGAATATCTTACCTGGTATTGGGGCAGAAAGGGCTCATGATAAATATTTTTGAAATATCATTCATAACAGCTATCCCGATCGACAACTATAAGCTGTACAACAAACCACTATTCAACATGTCTACGTCAAATGATGTCTAAAGCAACTTCTTCGGCTAGAACATCACTTCACACTCACCCTACGATTATTGCAGTTAACTTGCATTGCATTGCAACAACTTCATCAAAGAGAAACGTGTGTAATACAAGGCGCAAATATGGTACCCGTACATTTTATTTAAGAGTGTACCTAAAAGGCGTCGAACCACAAACAAGAGCCCTACTAAAATCACACAACGACGCGCAAGGGAAAGTGAGAAACATACAACAATCAAGCTCAACATCTAAGCATAGCACAGACTGCACTAGGAGTCTCATAAGGCAGGTCCGGCAGCCGCTGCCAAACCGAGCCTCCCCGAGCCTCAGCCTCGGGTTCGTACATGAGAGCCAGGGCGCCAAACCTATATCCCACCATGCTCACCGCACCAACCGCCACACCGCCAACCCAACCTCCCCGTCCTCCTCTCCCCCCATGTCCACCCCTCCCTCCTCTCCCCCTCCCACCTACTCCCCCCCTCCCTGCTGAAACATTCCCCCTCCCACCCCTAACCGCACCCCCTCCCCCCTCCCACCACCTCTCCCTCCTCCCCCTCCTCTTGCCCCTCCTCCACCCCCTCCTCCCCTCCTCCCCCTCCTCCCCCTCCTCGTTCCCTTGGACCTTCATGGTTCGGCAAGTCAGGCACAAGGTCTGCTACAGGGTCTGATGGTCCATTGACAATGTTTATGGGAATGTTCTCTGAAGTTTCAGCAGCAGTACCAGCAGCAGCAGCAGAATCAGAATCCCCAGAAGCAGTAGCAGTAGCAGCAGCAGGCTCGTCGCCAGCAGCAACAGAAGCAGAAGCAGCAGCCGCAGCAGCAGGCGCAGAAGCACCTGCCCCAGCAACAACTGCATCATCAGCCTGTGCCTCTGCTGCCGGTGCATCAAACACCCCTCTCTGCATATCTCCATTTACCTCCCCATTTCCTGAAGGTTGTACCCAGTTCTCAACCACCCCTCCTGCTGCCTCCCCTGCTGCTGCCTCTCCTGCTGCCTCCCCTGCTGTTTCCTCTGCTGTTTCTCCTGCTGTCTCTCCTGCTGCCTCTCCTGCTGCCTCCCCTCCTGCCCCTCCTGCTGCCCCTCCTGCTTCCTCTCCTGCTGCTCCTCCTGCTGTCCCTCCTGCTGCCTCTGCCCCTCCTGCTGCCTCTGCCCCTCTCTCGCCTCTTCTTCCCTCACCCCTCCCCCCTTCTTCCCCCCTCCTCCCTCCCCCAGCACGGCTCCCAGCAGCGAAAGAAGCAATACCCATGTCCTCACACGTTCCCCGTACTTGCACTATAAGAACCCTGGTTCGGGAGGCAACGCACCTAAACGACACTTTGCTAAGTATCATGGGGTCGGAGGGGGGCACGTAGGGCATGCTGTGCATGTCTTTCCACTCGTTGGCACGGGTGTCGTACCGGACGAAAGAAATTTGTCCAGATTCGATGCAACTGCACACAAACCAGGGGTTTGGGAATGGGGTGGTTACACAGTTATGTGTGTATGCCTGGAGACTCTCTGGTGTATGCATTTTGTAACAAAAATGGGGAAAATGGGAATGGGGGAGTTAATAATGGGGATGAAAGTCGCTTCAAAGTAGGGGAAGGACGTACCGAAGAATGAAGATGTATCGCCCAAGCACTGTCGAGCCTAGCACGACGCCCAGCTTCGGAATCGGCTCCCGAACCTCCCAGGTTCGGGCCCTGGGGTGGAAAACCTCCAAACTGAGCGCCTCGGCTCCCGCCCTGAACTGGTGGCTGCTCCTGGTTCCACCAATCACGTGCAGCCGCCCCGCCACGCACCCTCCCACCGCACCCACGCGCACCCTCTCCATATCAGGCGCCATCTCCCAATACCCCCCTCTTTTCCTCCGCCTCCTCCTCTCCCACTCCCCCACTTCTGCTTCCCCCTCCCCTCCCCCTTCCGCGGACCCCCCCCTCTCCTCGCACTTCTTCGAGTCACTTCCCCCATTCCCCTGCCCCTCTTCTACCATGCGCCCTTGCCCCTCGGGGATAAAAACTTCAGCTGCCCGGAGGTCCTTCTTCTCCTCGCCCTCCTCCAATGGCTGCTGGCGGATGCCGCCCGCGACGAAAAGTTTCCCCTTCCACTGCCCGCATACGAATTTGAATCGGGGAATTTGCAGTGCTGGTGCAGCGGAGAGGGAGTTCGTCCAGGCGTCATACACTAACGGGGGACGGCCTTTAGCGAGTATGCCTCCGAACAGGAAAATCCGATTCGATATAGGGCAGCACTGGGAGAAATCGTCTATTGCTAACGACTCGTTTGGAAAAACCACCCAAGACCAAGAATTGGACTTCAAATTGTAACACTGAATTAAGACCTTGGACTGGGCGGTCTGGCCCTTACTAATCACCACTAAGTGATTCTCCATCCGTCCTAAAGCCTCCCGGTAATCCCGGAACGCGTCAGTGCGAATAATACCCCGCCACGTGCGGCACACGTGCTGCATGGCCCCCAAAGCGCGCCGATCGGCCCTCGCCAGGCACTCCAAGAGCAGATCGTCCGTCAGATACGCGATCGGCGCGTTCCCAGCCGTCGGATCGTCCAGGGACGCGTATCCGCCGTTCATTTGCGGGGGGATGTCGGATGGGAGAGGGGGGAGCTCGATCTCGTAGGCAGAAGTGGAGGAGGAAGATGCACCTATTGGGCGCCGGAAAACGCGGCGAAAAATACGGGAGAGGTTGTTCGCCCCGCTGCTCGACTGGGCCGCCGGAGGCGCGGACAAAGAATCTGACGTGGCACCAGAGGAAGCTGACGTGGCGTTAGTTTCCGCCTGACGGTCCTTACCTCCCCCGAGTCCCACCTGACTCAGCCGCCTCACGTGCGACTTCACGCGGCTCGCCACGGCAGAAGAGTACGAGAAAAAACCCGCTGATGCTCCGCTATTAGCTGCTGCCCCGTTATAAGCAGCCGCGCCGTCCCGTTTAGCGCTCGGTCCGCTTATAAGCTCCTCCGCGAGAAAGTCCAACTCTCCCGTTTCCTTCCCCTCGTCGTCGTCGTCTGACGAGGAAAGTCCATCCATGGCTTCGCGTCGACCGCGCTGACTGCCGTGCCGGCCGCTTAGACGGCTGCTGCTCCCGCTGCTGCTATAACTGATGCATGACGGGACTCTGCTGCTTCCGCTGCGGGAAACCCGGGAGTCGGGCGGGGGTGCGGCGCATGGGAGCAGCGACGAGGGGTGGATGCGGAAGCTCCCCCCTCCGCCTCCGCCAGCCGCGCTTTCCGCCGTTGCCGTTACTTTTCCGCTAAGCTTTCCGCCGTGCTATGCACCGAAATTACTATATTGTAGCGGAGGCGCCTTCTGGTAGGAAATTCACACTATTCTACTCCGGTCCTGCCTGACTGCCTGCAATGCCGGTCGCCATGGCATGACTCTTTATTCAATCCCAAAGCTTCCAGTTTTTCAGGCAGGACGTGTCCCCCCATCCATTCCCACGCCAACCTGGAGGGTGACTGACTAGATCTTTCTTCATACGGTTTTCTGTGGTTCTCCGCGTTTCAAAGCGGTTATGCAGGAAATCTAGCTTTTGTCGTATTATCTTTACTCCTCCACAGGCCCACCCGCTCTCCCCGCCCTGGAGCGAACATCGCCCAGGTCAACACCACGTTCGCACAGTCGGTAACCCGTGTACAGTACCTCCTTTCTTTAGCCCCTGCAGAGCAGACACTTCCGCCCAAGTGCGTTTAGTGGCGGAAAGTTTCGCGAACCACCAGTTGCTTTCGCCAAACCCAACAACTGGCCTCTGGTCGCTATGGCTGGACCACACCGCACAGCAGTACAAGATTCTTGCCTCTATATAAGCCTCAAGAACTCTCGTTTCTGTTCCAATAATTTACCATCTATACGACAAAGAGCCCAAAGCTTTATTTCAAAGGGGAGATCCTCTTGATACTTTTGCAATATGACTCCACATCTTCATAAGCCCATCAAAACCTCGTTCTTCTCGAATCTTCCCAGCAATAGTGTAGTTAGCCACATCCTCTTGAGTTGCCTCAGCAGCAACTCTATGCTTGCCAAATCTTTCAGTATCAAAATCATTTGCAAGCAACTCATTTGAGTCACAAGCTCTCATCCCACCTTGGAGCACATCGAAGACCACTTCCTCACAATCACCAGCCGCCATGCTTGCCTCCAAACTGGCCCTCCCACTGACATCTTGCCTCTTGGCTATTCCAGAATCAGCAATCCGTTTGCCGGTAATCGGACGCTTGTGCGACACTTTCAAGCACTCGATCTTCCGTCCATTCTCAACATCACAGCTTCGCCTCCTTTTTTGCCCAGCATCAACCCCCCCCACATCAGGCAATGCTCCTTGACCCAGCTCCCTTGCACCTATTGGATGCTCCCTTTGCAGCACCATGACCTGGCCCTTTCTTGACTCATTCACGCCCGCTGGAACCTCCCCTTGCAGTTCCTTGCACATGGCTCTATTCACTATCCCCTGCCTCGCACTTCCCTTCTCCCTCCTGCCACCTGGCTTCTTGTGTGCATACTTGTCAAAGCAAACCCCGCCTGCTGCTGCATTTCGTCCCTCTCCCAGCCTTGCCTCGCACATCTCTCGCGCGTCCGTTGCTCTTTTCGCACCTTCTCCTGTGCGTATTTCCCCCCTCTCCTTCTGAGCACCAGTGTCTCCCTCTTTTTGAGGCGCCTCAAAAACCAATGCTCCTTTCGCACCTTCTTGTGTCCTTGTGTGGAAAGGTATTTCCCCCGACTCCTTGTGTGCACCAGTGTCTACACCCTCCTCCTCATCATCATCCCCCAATCCTGCCAAACCACCCTCCACGTCCTCCCCAAGCCTCACCCCTACCTCCATCGCCTCCCGCCCGACGCAACCTCCCTTGCTCTTAACAGGTCCCAATGCTGCCAAGTCAGCATCCACGTCCTTCCCAAGCCTCACCCCCACCGCCATAGCCTCCCGCCCGACACCAAGTCCCTTGCTCTTAGATGCCCCTTTCTTCCGCCTCTGTGGAAGCATCGTCTGCTGCATATCTCCATCTCTTTTCGTCTTCCTAGCTTGGCACACACTATCCTCCCACATACCATCCCCATCGTCCTCCACGCCATACCTGCCCACCCCACCTTCGGACACTCCCTCCCGCTGCACACTCTTCTCAAGGTTACCACGCCCCTCCTCATCGTCTTCCTGCCCTGTCAGATCAACCACCTCTAAAGAATCCGCCACTTCTGCTTCTGCTTCCTCCTCTACTCTGCCCCCAGTCAAATCTCCCACATGCTTCTGAACAGGCGGGGAGACGTTTCGAGTCGGCCCAAAAGCCTTCGCCTCTTGGCGAGATGCGAGGGGAGAGCATGCAGCATGCACGACAGGAAGGAAGAGCCGACGCAAGGCGTCCATCTCAGACTCCACACGCAGATTCACGTGTGATCCACTCAGTACTCTCGCTTCAGGTGCAAGCACAGCTTGTAAGCTCACATCCCCTCGACCACTACCGGCCACCTCCCCAGCCCGACGCTCAAGCCTACTTCCCTCCTCTGCGGTACCCGCACACTCACCTTTCTCCTCCCCCTCGTCCTCCTGTCTCCCCCTCTTCCTGCGCTCCCTTCCCTTACCCTCGCACCCCCCTCTCTCCTTCCTCCGTTTCACACTCTCCCCCTCGCAATCACCACCACCACCGGTCACTCTCGTCCGCCCTCCCTCCTCTTCCTCCCCTCGTCCCGCGCCTGCAGCCGCCTTTCTCTCGACACAATCCCCTCCCGCTCGCCTGAAACAGTCGAACATCGTCAACCCTGCTGCGGACTTGCTACCTCTTGCTCTCACCGCCACTCTCACCTCCTTCCCGTTCTTACCCTCCCTCTTCGTATGATCTTCCTCCCTCTCACCTTGCTCCCTCTCGCCTTCCTCCCTCTCACCTTCCTCCCTCTCACCTTGCTCCCTCTCACCTTCCTCCCTCTTCTGCCCTTCTCCATCCTCCACCCCTGTGCAAGCTGCCAGGCCTTCCTCTTCCCTCTCCCTATCTTTCCCCTTCCCATCACGCCCCCCCTTCCCTCCCTTTTCCGCTCTCACCTGGGAGCCTTTGCCCTTCTGCCGCTTCTCTACCGTTCCAGCCACTATACTCAACGCAGCAGCCGAAGGTCTCAAGAAAGGGGCTCCAGGCTCACACCTTCCATCCCCCGCCACACTAGTGTCAACAACACTCCTCTTCGCCTCTTCCCCAGCCTCACCCTCCTTCACGCCTCTCTTTCTCTTCCTCCCTTTCACACCCTCCTTGCCCACACCCGACTTCACATCCCCCTTCTTCCCACCCCCTTCGCCTCCCTCCCCCCCCTTCCCCTCCTCCCCTCCCTTTCCCCCCTCCCCTTCCCCCGCTCTCCTCCTCTTGGCTTCAAGAGCCATCAGAGCAGCCCTAGCTCTTTTCCTCTCCTCCGCCCACTTGCGTCTCTGGGCGTTGGTGTGCTCCTGGTGGCAGGCGACGCAGAGCGTTCGCAGGTTCTCCACTCCGCACTCCCCTCCCCCTTCTGCCACTGCCACTATGTGATCGGCATGCCATGCGTTGCCCTCTGCGGGGATGTCCACTAGACGCTGGAGACTGGGAGAAAGGGCGAGGGGAATGGGCATGATTGGGGAAAGACGGGTGAATTATAGGAGGAAGGAAGAGAGGGCGTTCGTGTGCTGCTGGTGGGAGGCCACACAGAGCGTTCGGAGATTCTCCACTCCGCACTCCCCTCCCCCTTCTGCCACTGCCACTATGTGATCCGCATGCCATGCGTTGCCCTCTGTGGGGATGTCCACTAGACGCTGGAGGCTGGAACAAAAAAAGAAAAGAAAAAAAAAGGCATCGTGTGGGAGTGGGAGCACAGGGTGCAAGTGGGAGCACAGGGTGCGTGAGAGCATAGGGTGCGTGAGAGCATAGGGTTTGGCCCTGGTGGCAGGGCACGGAGAGGGTTCGCAGGTTCGACCGCTGCCACTATGTGATCCGCATGCCATGCGTGGTTATGAAGAACAAACTACTTGGGGTGCTTGGCGAAGCGTGGTGCCCATTGCAGCAGGATCACTCAACTCAATGGCAGTCAGCATGTGATAGCACCCTGAGGCAGCGAAGCGACCTAGAGTGTGACAATACACCTAAGTGAGATCCCACAGCTCTCCACTCATTGGGGGAAGAGCTTGGGGTGCTTGGAAACGTGTGGAGCCCAGTGAAGGATCACTCAATGGCAGTCAGCAGAGGTGGCACCCCTGGTGGCAGTGAATAGAGCGTGACAATTCAGAGCAATCTGCGGTGAGAGCGTGAACCCACCAGGTTTAAACGCGTTCACAGCCTGGGGTGCTTGGCGAAGCGTGGGGTGCCAGGCTGTGGGTTCAGCGTTCAGGGGTTGAGTGTTCAGGGGTTCAGCGTTCAGGGGTTGAGTGTTCACGGAATCAGGGGTGCTCACAGCTTGGGGTGCTTGGAAAATTGGGGCGCCCAGTGGAGAATGACCCGCCGGCGGTCACTAGGAGGGAGGACTCTTATTGCGGCGACTAGAGTGTGGCAGTCCAGGTTGCACGTCACGCACACTCCGCGTTCCAGTGAGAAAAGCTCCTGAGGAGAGAGAGAGAGGGGGGAAAGGTTTGTGGAAGGGAGGGAGGGGGAAAGGGTTTGTGTGGTCTTGAGGCGCTTAAGATCCTGATGGGCAGTGACTAGAGCGTGGCAGTCTGGGGTGCAAGTCGCGTTCCAATGAGAACAGCTCCTAAGGTGGTGGCAGTGGCGCACGGAAACATAAGGGAGTGAGTGGAACATAAGGAGTCTATATTTGAGGCGCCTCAAAAATAGACTCTTCTAAGGTGGTGGCAGTGGCGCACGGCAACATAAGGAAGTGACTGGAACATATTCGTGAACAGATAGGCAAGAAACGAAAGAACAGAGAGCGAGAGGCAGAGGGGCAAGGGAAACAAATAAAGAAAGGGAAGAGAAGAAGAAGAAGAAGGGAGGCGCGTCTCACATGGTGTAGGGAGGAGACGGAGGCGTGAGAAAGGTAAGTGGAGACGGCAAGCAGGAGGGAGAGGAGGATGAGCACACGTTACTGACACAGTGGCGGAGGGTGGTGGAGCGTGGTGGAGAAGGCAAGAAGGATGAAGACAGATGACAAAACGTCACAGACAGAGTAGAGGTAGGTAACGGCTTATCTGACGCAGGGAGGAGAGGGAGGTACGTGAGAGGTAAGAGGAGACGATAAGAGGGGAGGGCAGATGGCAACACGTCACAGACAGGGTGTGAGGAGGGGTATGTGAGGCGGGGGATGTGAGGAGGGGTATGCGAGGAGGGGTATGTGAGGAGAGGGATGTGAGGAGGGGTGAGTGAGGAGGGGTATGTGAGGAGGGGTATATGAGGAGGGGTATGTGAGGAGGGGTATGTGAGGAGGGGTATGTGAGGAGGGGTGAGTGAGGAGGGGTATGTGAGGAGGGGTATGTGAGGAGGGGTATGTGAGGAGGGGTATGTGAGGAGGGGTATGTGAGGAGGGGTATGTGAGGAGGGGTATGTGAGGAGGGGGATGTGAGGAGGGGTGAGTGAGGAGGGGTATGTGAGGAGGGGTATGTGAGGAGGGGTATGTGAGGAGGGGTATGTGAGGAGGGGCATGTGAGGATTGACTTACCTGACGCAGGAAGGAGAGGGAGGTGCGAGAAAGGTAAGTGGAGAAGCAGGATTCGGAGCAGAAGAGATGGCGGAGCACTGTTGGCGCCCTTGCAGCGTGTGTCCTGTAGCGGAGTAGGGGGGGAGAGCAGGGTTCAGGTGGCCGGCCCCTCATAGTGGCCGCCCTCTCAAGGTGGGCAGAGACCTAGAGACCTAGAGATAAAGAGACAAAGAGACGTGTGCATGATAAGGACATTTCAAAAGACGAGCTCACCGGCAGATCTGCCCGCACATGCGGCAGAGTGGGACCCAGTGAATGCTGCCACGTGGCAGCCTCTCATTGGATGACACGCCTGCAGCAGTACCACCTGGCGCTGCTTGCTTGTCTTCGTGTGCGTCAGCTACTGCTGCTTCGGTTTCTGCTTCTACTGCCGCTGCTGCTGTTTCTGATTCTGCCCTTGCTGTTATTGCTGCTGCTCCTCCTGCTCTTTCTGCTGCTGCTGCTTCTGCTGGTGCTCCTACTGCTTCTGCAGTTGCTAGTTTGGCTGCTGTTACTGCTGTTGCTATCTCTGTCGCTGCCTCTGCTTTTGCTTTGTCTGCCCCGGCTGGTGTTGCAACCTCTCCTGTTGCTGCTGCTTCTGCTCCTCCTGCTGCTACTCCTCCTGCTGCTTCTCCTCCTCCTCCTCCTCCTCCTCCTGCTAATCCTCCTGCTCCTCCTCCTCCTCCTGCTACTCCTGCTACTCCTGGCACTGCAGCACCCAGCCGGCCCCACAGCTGCCACTCTGTGCGCATGCGAGTGCCTCTACCATGCACCCTCACTGCCCTCGTCTCCCTCTCCACCACCACCAATCCTGCTGCTACCCCTCCTGCTGCCACACCTGCGGCTGCTGATGTCCCCACACCTGCACCTCTTGACCCGTTTGCCCCTCCACCATCCACTCCTCTCCCCTCCCTAGCAGCAGTGAGAATATCCCCTCTGGTCGCCCACCGCCTCTTGCTGCCACACGTCCCTGCCATGCCCTGCACCACGCACAACAAGAACATCCACTTACTTATAGCGAATATTTCGTCTCATCCCCTCTCCCCTCCCTAGCCGCAGTCAGCACTGAAATGCGACTAATCCAGAGAGCCCAAATTCTCACCATAACCTCGCCGAACGGGAGCGGGAACAGCATTCGCTCCAGCTCCTCTGCCACAGGAAGCGCCAGGACCCTTCCAAGCAGCTTCCTCCGGTGCTGCGGCTTCAGCGCTCCCCACTCGCTGACAAATGACCTGGCGGCCTCTCGTAGCGCCACGTGTCGCCGCAGGATTGGCGGCATCCGATCCTCCGAGTCCACGAGTTGGGGGGAACCTGCCGAGGAACCTTCCTTCTTGCTGCTGTCACCTTTTTTGTTGCCACAATTGTTGTTTCTGTCACTCTCGTTTTTGTCACACTGGTCATCCTCCGCTTTGCTGTCACCCTCGTTATTGTCACCAGGGGTATAATCGGCTCCTGCCTTCCCGTCGTGCTGCTTCTTCCTGCCCGTGACACAAAGAGGGGTGCTAATAACGAGGTCCAGATCTTCAGGATGAAAGTTTTGCTCGAGGGGAACCGGCGAGAACGGACGGCCAGGATGGCTGAAGAAAAGATGTATTCTGCCCGTGTGGGTGCTCACCTGCCCGAATACAAAAGATTGGCATCACACAGTGAGAGGGCGTGAATGGTGAGAATGGATTAAGTCAAAAGAAAACACAGGGGCACGGCAAGCAGCCTTTGTCTGAGGAGATGACTGAAGCACAGAGGCGTCTAAAAAAAAGGGAAATGCTCACCTCGAACTGCAGGTCCTCTGGCTTTATGAGGTGACTTTTGAGTCGACTCAAAAGTCACCTCGAAAGGCAGTCTTTGTTTGATTTTGAGGAAATGACTGAAGCACAGAGGCGTCTCAAAACAAGGGACATGCTCACCTCGAACCGCAGGCCCTCTGGCCTTATCTGCGCCCACTTCTGTGCTTCAGCATCCTCCTCCGCTCCCTTTACTTCCTCCCGCAAACCTGTGTGATGATACCCCACGCCTTTCCCACTTCCACTTCCCACTTCCCTACGAGGACTATCCATTCCCAGCATTTCATAACCACTGGAGCTGTCTGGCCCCTTCTCTACACCTGTTGCTCCCCTCGTCGTCACCTTTCCACCCTCCTCGCTCGCTTCTTCCCTATCTTCTCTAGCGTATCCCTTCTCCATGTTTCCCCTTTCGTCTTCCATCAACCCTCTCTCCCCCCTTGCCCTTTTGACAGCAGATTGGTCAATAACGCTATCCACCAGCAACCCTCCCTCCCTCTGCTTCCCGCCATCCACCAGCAACCCCACCTCTTGCTGCTTCCCCCCCTCCCCAGCAGTCCTTTGCCACATCTCAATCCCTCTCGCCCCCCTTGCCCTTTTGACAGCAGATTGGTCAATTACGCTATCCACGTGCAGGCCCACTTCGTGCTTCTTCCCCCCATCCACAGCGGCTGACACTCTCTCCGCACTGCGGCACAACTTCTGCCACGCCGTCTCGTCCCGTGAGTCCTGGATGGAAGCAGGAGGAGAGGGAGACAGGGGCAAGCAACAGATGCAGTACGGTGGGCAGAATAGTCAGTTTCCTACACGCAGAATAGTCAAAATAGCCTTCCCTCAATTAGTCCGTCCCCCCATCCACTGCGGCAGACACGCGCTCTGCAGTTCTGCCGTGCCGCCTCTTCTCGTGCGTTCTGTATAGCAGAGAGGAGGGGAAGAGAGAACAGCAAGCGAGAAACAGCAGCTGCCACTTGCTCTGCACTGCGGCACAATCTTTGCCACGCCATCTCGTCCCGTGACTCCTTGGATGGGCTTGGATGGGCTTGGATGGGCTTTGGATGGGCTTGGATGGGCTTGGATGGGCTTGGATGGGTTTTGGATGGGCTTGGATGGGCTTGGATGGGCATTGAATGGGCTTGGATGGGCTTGGATGGGCTTGGATGGGCTTGGATGGGCTTGGATGGGCTTGGATGGGCTTGGATGGGCTTTGAATGGGCTTGGATGGGCTTGGATGGGCTTGGATGGGCTTTGGATGGGCTTGGATGGGCTTGGATGGGCTTTGGATTGGGCTTTGGATGGGCTTGGATGGGCTTAGATGGGCTTGGATGGGCTTTGGATTGGGCTTTGGATGGGCTTGGATGGGCTTAGATGGGCTTGGATGGGCTTGGATGGGCTTTGGATGGGCTTTGGATGGGCTTGAATGGGCTTGGATGGGCATGGATGGGCATTGGATGGCCTTGGATGGGCTTGGATGGGCATTGGGTGGGCTTGGATGGGCTTGGATGGGCTTGGATGGGCTTTGGATGGGCTCGGATGGGCTTGGATGGTCTTGGATGGGCTTGGATCTAAGTTGGTTCCTTACGTTACGTTTACGTACGTGTACGTTTACGTTTACGTACGTTTACGCGATTCTGGTTTTAGGCCTGTATGTACGGGCAGGCTAATTTTTTTTCTACCTGCCCAGAAAAAAGAAAGAAGAGGGAACCCTAGGCAGATTTTTGTACAGACTTCCATTGGCCATTAAAACTTTTCGTAGGAAGATAGAAAACATCCACAAAATACCTACCTAACCCAACCCAACCCTCCTTGACATTCAATTCCCCTTCCCTCCTCGACGAATGTTAGTCGCTACCCTATCTCCAGTAGCAACTAAGTTAAGTCTAAGTCGCATCCTAGGACTATTAGCGCGCCTTCGACCAGCGCGACGAATCTCAAGCGCCAAAGTTCATGACGCGGTAGATCTGCGCAAACCGTGGGCAGTGATAATCTAGGCGTAGTTGCAGATCGCGTAGTTGTAGAACGCGGTTTTCGGAGGGAATTTTTTTGCCTGGAAAAAAATTCAGGGCCTGCCCGGCGATGTAAACATAACGTACGCGTAATGTAATGTAAACGTAACGTTACGCGTACTGTACGTTTACGTCACCTAAAGTGACGTAAAGTACCAACATAGGCTTGGATGGGCCTGGATGGGCTTGGATACTATGTTGGAATATACGCGTATTGCGTATTATACGCCGGCGTATATAGTCTTGCGTACATATGCAAAACGCATGGGTTTGGGGTCCAATACGGCAGGAATACGTATGCCCGGCCGGGCTACAAAAATTCCCAGGCAGGGAAACAAAACCAAGGGGCAGCAAGGAAGCGAATGAGGCACGTTTTTAGGGGTCGAATTTTGACCAACCAATTCCCTCCCTTTCACCGCACTCAACCCCCCCGTTTACAAAGTCAAATTGGCTTCCAACCAACTCCCTCCCTTTCACCGCACTGAACTCCACCCCAATCTACAAACTCCAATCTTTCCTCACAAATGCTCCACTCTCTCCCCATCACCTCCCTCCTGTTTTGCAAGAACACCTAAAAGCCAAGCACCGTAACTCGCACAATCTCCGCCACCGTGCTAAGAATCTAAGTTGGCTATAGCTTCCGCGTGAACTAACAGCTCCCAGGCAACGAAATGTCAAACGCGCTCACAGCAAGCCAACCTTGCTCGTGACTGATGCCAACGTCCTACTGCTAGCCTAAGTGGGCAAATTCGTTGGGGTCCCCCAGCGTTTTGCGTAAATTCGTAAGCGTAAAGTCGCGTTTGCGAATTTACCTGAAATTCGCGAAACGCTGGGGGGAAATTTTCTGGGCAGCCCGGACAAAAAAAATGCAAATTTCCCCACTCGATTCGCGACGACTTGGCGAAGCCATCCGTGGCCTCGCCAATTCGCGATTCTAACTTCTGAACCTCCAAACCTGCTCCCAACCCCTCCCACTCTCCCAACCGCATCAAACCCCACCGCATCTAGATAACCCAACCCATCCAGCACCCAACACAACTTACGCAACCATATCACGCATCTCACACGCTACTCTACCAGACTTAGAGTAGATCTAGCTAATCACTCCGCGTCCTAGCTAGTAGATCTAGTAGCTTACCGCATAGACATTAGCTTACCTCACGAGTATGATGTTGCTGTATGTTGCTGCAGGGCTGTTGTTGCGAAGGATCCCCCCCAAACTCTAGAACAAGCTATGGCCATAAACTTTGAGAAGCAATATTGATTTTGTGCTAAAACTTTCTTGCTTAAAAAGAGTTGCCCTGAAACCCCCCACGCCCCCCCTGCCTGGGAACTTGTTTTTGGGCCTGCCCGGGCATTTTTTTCCTGCCCGGGCGGAACGAATTTCCCAACGAATTCAAAACAGGGCCCTGGCGTTCGGACGAATTTACGCCAGCGTAAATTCGTCAGCGAATTTACGCGAAACGCGAATTTTCCCACTTAGCTGCTAGCTCGTAGCAAGGACTCCTCGCCTACGGCTACAAAACGCAGTCGCACTGAGCGCTCGGACTCCGATGCGCCACCTTGCCGATCGCCTCCGATCGACGGGATTTCGCCAAAGCGACTATCGGATTTTGCAAGGACTCCTTGCACTAGGATTATATAGAAGCACTAGGCTCTATGATAATCTCCTTGTCGACACGAATACAACGCTATCCCCAGATTTGCTAGAACTCGTGATAACGCACTTATGCAAGAATTCAACTGTGTTATAAAATGACAAACATACAAGTGATTTTAGATCGCGTCCAGAAAGTTAGCCCATCCGCGAAGTTTTCCCACGCGGCTCGGAATGTCTAAAAACACATTTCAATGTTTTCCCACGCAATTCAAACTTTGCACATGTGATTAGAACTTTTCCCATCCTGCTTTCGGCCGGCCAGGATGCATGCGACGTGGGCCCACGACAAAGTGCGAACACATCCCACGTCAGGAGTTGGCAGTCTTGTGTCCCACTCCGGCATGATTTGACGCCTGGTCGTCACGGAACCTTACCCCAACTGCCCGCACAGCGGAAAAAACCTGGCAGGGGCAACTGGAAAGCCCACCATCTCCAAGCGTCGTCAAATATGGCAAGATTTCAATTGAAGTCAAACTAACCAAGGACGGCCACGTGTACCGTCTTTTTTTGTTCCAAAGGATAGGACTTTTGGATTCGCCGGACGCCCGGATGGGTGTGAGATGGGTTTGACGTTTGCGCCTCCTGATTTCATCACATCTTGAGCACGCGATTGTGTTTGGGGCTTCCTCATTTGGGGCGAACTTTGTCTGTTCGCTTTTCGTCGTTTGGGGCTCATCAAACTGGTCGCAAGGTTGTGAAGTCGGATGGGCAAACTTCGGTGTTCATGAAGTTTGCCCACAGAATTGCCCCAAACCGTGTCAGATGGGAAAACTTCGGGATGGGCAAACTTCCTGAATGCGATCTTAAGCTCAACCAGAATGAAATTTTGCAGCTCGTAACTACCGAGGGCGCTTCGAGTAACGAGCGCGCCCTGTTACGTTTCGGGCCGCACACGCAATTGAGTCGGAATACGGTCTGCGTGTTTCAACACCGACTCCGACCCCAACCCAAGTTCGGTGCCACTGAACGCGCACCGTCCGAAATGTCAATTTCTCCCGCAAACACTGCACGTAACTCCACATGCACACTTTCTTCACACATTCCTTCCCACTCCTTCCCCTTTCTCCTTTTCATCTCCCGTCGTCCTATTTCCACCGTTCTTCCCTAGTGCACCACCGTCGTACCGTCACTTCTTCCGCATTCCCACTGATATTCCTCAATCACCGTCATACTCCTCCATCCCTTTCGATTTCTTGCATATTTCCCCACTATTTCCTCAACCGATTCTTTCATTCCCACCGTCTGTCTGCTGCCCCTAGATCGCCACCCGTAGGTCGCCCTAGTGGTTGGCGAACCACTTCCAACAACCTCCTCTGTGGTTCGTCAACCACCACATCCTCCACCTCTTACTCCGCTAGTATTCGTGACCCATTAACAGTTTGCTCGCTCTGCTTCATACTCCTCAACTGCTGCCTTGCTGTGCTTATACTCATGCGCTGCAGCTCCCCTACACCCCTGATGTTAGTATGGAAACATCCTCTTGCGTCCTGAACGGTCTTCACATGCCTTATCATTCTCTTCTCCGTCCCCACTCAACGACCACGCCCAATGTAACCCCTGAGGTACTTCAAGGTATCACCTTCCAGGTCTGTATAGAGATCATAATCCCATATGGTAAAGTGCTTTGCAAGCCTCTTAACCCTTAGCTCCTCCTAAAGATTCCACCCTTGCTGCACTGCTCCTTCCCTCACAAAGAACATGAGATTCTTATCATTGCCAACCTCCTCCCAGAGTGAGTTTGGCGCAAGATGAAAACCTGCTGGTCCTGCTACTGCTGCCTCAGCTGCTGCTGTTTTCTCAGCTTCCGCTGTTGTATCTGCTTCTTCCCCTCCATTGAGCAGAGACTCCTCCTCACTCTCCTCTTCTTCTTCTTCTGGTCGTTCTTCCGATGGTGCCTCCCGAACCCTTTCAAACATATCATGTACTGCAGCCCTTCCACGTTCCTATGCCCTCCTTTCCTCCTCAGGTGTAGGCTGCTGGTTGCCCATTGCCGCTGCCATACCCTGCTCGGTCAATCGCATCTCATACATCCCCTTCCGCACAATTCCCTCTGCAATCACTGTCCA